CTCCTTGTTTAAATTCATATGTCTCTTATCTCTAGGTTTAATTTTGTTATTTTCTTGCATTACTGCCTTTTCAAATGAAATCATTTCTTTAGATATAAAGTTATTTGGGAAAAAAGGTAGACTTTTCCTTTAGATCAGTATGTATGTATTTTGAAATCGGGGTTTGGTATATTGTTTTCTCTGATCTCATAAAACATTTCTTTAGACATAATTGTCTTTTGTTTTTGTTCAAATCTATAAAGATATCAAATTTGTTTAGTGGTTGTGTTGGCACAAATTTTAGTCCTTTGTTTAGAATTTTTTGATGTGCATTTGGTAGGGGATTTCCGGTTAGGTTAAAAATAATTGACTGTGATTGTGTCTTAATTTTTCTTATTTTATTTAGTGTCTTCCCTCCTTGGGTTCCCCTCCTCTTAAATTTCTTTGTCTTTTGGGGGGAGTGTTGTGGGGTGAAACCATATGTTGTGGGGATTGTGTTACTTTGTATTTCCCTTTTTGGCGTCCATCCTGAAAAAAATCATCTTCGTTGTGTATCTTAGTTAAAGTGTCAAATCTATTTGAGGTGGAAGTGTAATTCCTTTGTGTCTCCTTTGTATTTCTTGTGAGGATAGGTGATCTCTCTCTTATCTTTTTATTTTCTTGATATCTTTCTTTTGTTTGTGCTGGTGTAAATTTTGTGAATCTTGATTGTGGTGTAGGAAATCTTGGGTGTGGTGATCTAATTCTAGAACGATGTCTCCTATCCCGTGAATCCTCTCGTTCCTGGTAAGAGTGTGCTTGATTTGAATCATAATGTTTTCCCCATCTCGTTACATGTTGATAATTATTGTTTTCTTGTGGTTGATAATAACTCTTTTTGTTATGATAACTAGAGTTGTTGTGAGTATGTGTATCTCTATGTTTGTTTTTTGTAACGTATGTTGTGACTTGGTTGTTATCATAATCATACCTATCCCTTTTGTATTTCTTTCTTTTAATATTTACGGTTTCTGCCTCAGTTTTGTCTATTTGTTTTTGAATTATGTTTGTAATGGTCTCATATTCCTCAGAGGAAGTATGGTTCAGGAGTTGAGTTTGGATATCATTTATATCTTTATCCAATTTTTGTAAGGTGACCTTTCTCCTTTTAATTATCATTTTCATAGTTGTAAAAGAAAAAGTTTCCAACATCTCCTGCCATTCTTCCATAAATTCTTCCTCTCCTTTATCAAATGTGGGATATTTGTTATATCTCAGACCCCTAGGGGTAATTTTTTCCTTAATATATTTTTCTAAAGTAGCTACTTCCCAAATTATTTTGACCTCCTGATTCATGAATTTAGTAAGTTTATATTGACATTCTCTTAAATCACAAACGTTTGTGTGAGGTTGGGAGTTGTGGATCGTGGTAGGGGTATCAAACATAGTATCTATATTGGTGCAATAGTTCTTTCTTTTTTCAAATAGTGACATTTCAGCTGCCTCCACACCTACAAGGAGTAGGATATACAAACACAATAGATTTACAAACAAGGTGTGGAAAGGTGGCGCTATTAGAATATGGTGAAAAGAAGTTCAGCTGCTAAAAACACTCCGTGGGTACTCCTATACACCCACCACACATAAAAAATCACCAAGAGAAACAGATAAGCATATGTGGAGTAAAACTTAGGGCAACATGTTAGAATAACTAAAATGAAGTGACGTGTTCCAAAAATCCACCCACTCTATAAAGAGCTTACTCCAAGCTTAAAGAAAAGTAGCGTAGTCAGTATAATCCCTGTCTTGGGATATATGCCAAAAGATGCTGATATGTTCCTCAAAATGTAGAAAATCCCCCAATATATTTGAAAACCAGAAGAGAAATAAAAAAAAAAACCTAAAATGGTGCAGTATAAGAAACAATTGGACCATGTAACAATACAAGGAACTCTACTTATGAATCAAGAGCACATACTGGCTCTGAATGTTTAATCCCCACCACAAACCAATACAGAGCAGGATACCACAATGGAGGCAATGCAACTTGTTTCCGATGAGGAAAGAGAATTCATTTGCCACAATAAAAATACATAATAGAGTCACCATAAAGCTTTTTCAAAAGTGTGATCAGCTTACGGTCTTAGATCCTTAATAAGGATTTCCAATAAGCGGCCTCGGGTATTTTCTCATGGTTGTCTCAGACACGGGATATCGTGTTTTCAGCATTTGATTTTGATTTGTGCTAGTCTCTGATTCTATTACTTCTGCAGTCATTGCCAGATGTGATATCGTGGGTTTCAATTGGAAGATGCTATTTATAAAAAAGGCAACAGTGGCTTCTACAGGAGCATCGTCCCGCCCGACCACAATTTAGATTAGATAGTACTAACAGAAAAGAGTAATTCTTCCCCTAAAGTACAAATATCATTTCCGTCCCCCCGTTGGCTCAAGACACAAGTGGTCACTCTGCAGCCAGGGGAGATATGGAGTGTTCCATTGGGTCAGCGGCGTTCATACAGAGGATCCCTTAATCTGTATGTTGGCTTACTTTAATGTGACAATATAATTTGATTTGACTTAAAGGAACACTATAGGGTCAGAAACACAAACATATATTCCTGACCATATAGTGTTAAAAACGCCATCAAGCCCCTCTAAATATAGTAAAATCTTACCTTTATTCCAGTCTGCTGGTGCTGGCTCTGCCCCTGATCTGCCTCCTTGGCTGACATCATCAGAAGTGGTGATCTCAACCAATCACAATGCTTTCACATAGGAAAGCACTGGATTGGCTGAGCTTGTCAAGGAGGTAGATCAAGGGCAGAGATCAGCACAAACCAAACACAGCCCTGGCCAATTTGTATCTCCTCAGAGATGCATTGAATCAATCCATCTCTATGAGGAAAGTTCAATGTCTCCATACAGAGGATACACTATTTATACGAAAATACAGTATTTACTGCAAAAAGTCTGAAGGGACTGTTTATACTCACCAGAACAAATACAATAAGCTGAAGTTGTTCTGGTGACTATAGTATCTCTTTAAAAGGACACTATAGTCACACACACAAAAAAAAAGTTAATAGCTTAATGAAGCAATTTTGGGTGTATAGATCATGCCTCTGAAGTCTCACTACTCAATTCTCTGCCATTTAGGTGTTAAATCACTTTTGCAGCCCTAACTACACCCCCATGGCTGTGACCGACACAGCTGGAATAAAAATAAAATGGTTTCATTTTTAATCAGATGTAACTGACTAATGTCTCCATTGATTCAAACAGTTACCTATACTTATAAAATGGAGCCCATTAGGATATTTTTTGTGAATACTAGAATTAGAAGATATACAATGGTTCCTATAGCCTCTTTATTGCTGCAATGCTCCGCTATTCTTGTGGTTAAAGAGAGTTTATTACGTCCTACATATTGGAGCCCACAAGGGCATTCGAATATATGGACTGCGTTCCTACTATTGCAAAAATTACATACATTTTTATAATAAACTCTATTTGCTTTAAAAACAAAATACTTTATAACCCTTGGAGGATTAAGACATGTAAAAACACCTGTGCTGTGTATATTTGAAAACCAGATCAGATTCTTTTTTGGGCTAAGCACCTTGCCCCTCCACTATAGGTGCCCCTTTGGTAGTGACCACAGGAAAGCATACATTTGAATAAGTATTGTAGTCAGCATGTGTATCTTCCATGTCAAAATTAGTGTAGGACCCACAGATATTCAGCATGTAGTGCAGGACCCACCGATACTAGGGTATTTAACAAGGGGCACTAGAAGGAACCATTTTATCTCCAACCACTTTCAAAACAACTGGCATGTTTATTTTTTTAAACACATTTTTGTTTTGGAATTTCATAGACTGCATTGGCATCTCTTCTAGAAATAAACCAGATTTTCATGCTTCTTATATCAATGAATAGAGCAATACCAAACATGCAGACAACATTTTTGAGAGGTTAAAGGGTCAAAACAGCAATAACTTCATTTTTTAAGTTTCACCCTATTTGGTGAATAGAAACCATAGTCTAGTTATAACCATACATTAACCCTATACGTCGCAAGCTCTGGCCTGAACTAGTCATATCTAAACATAGAGCCTAGCTAAGCCAACAATTAACTCTAACAATAGCTAATTCTAACCCTGTGGGCTGTTTATTAGATTTGCACTCAGGTAGACTGATTTTTTGTAAGACCCTATAACAGACAGCCTTAGCTGTCAGCTAAAGCACAAAATCAAAGTTACTGGCTCCCAGGGCGATAACAGCCTGGAAGAAAATTGCAAGACTGCATCAGTAGATTTAGGAAATATACAAAACAATCAGCAAGAGAAAAGCATTCTGGTAAATATGTGGAAACTGAAGGAGAATTGTTTTATGTAAACATCTAACACTTTAATCACTCGATCCTATGCGATCGAGTGATTAAAGTTCTATTAACTTCTAAGCTTAAATTATTAAACTCAAATATGATATCTGTCAGCCCCCTTGTACTTACCTTGGAGGTCCGCCGATCTGATCTGGCGGACCAGCGTTCCCACACAGTATGAGACTCCAGACAGCCTCATGAACGCCACCACGTGTGCCGGCGTCATGGTGTCACTGGAGCTCTAATCAATAGAGCTCAGCACACTTGCACCTTTTGGGGTGTGTGGTTATGCTAACTACGCCCCCAATCATATCATAAAATCTCAGTGCCCTGTTGTGGTTCCTAGTGTCCCTATAGCACGTTCTTTTATCATTTTGGTACATATGTGTTTTGACACGGCTTGTTCTCGACTACCATGTTTTCTGACTCCCCTGACTCTGCTTTTGCCTCTTGTATTGGTGTATTTCTGGCTTCCCTTGACCGTGGCCTTTTCTGACGTTCCTTGAATTTTTATTCTATTATATGGCCATTCTAAGGACCGGTTTAGGTACCTTCTTTCTGTCTCTAGTTATTCTGATGGGTTTTCACTCTGCGTGTTGGGTTGTACGTTACAATATCTCATATTCCACTACACAGTAATACAACAAGCAAGTGACACGGAGGAACAAATTATTTATGATTTTAAATACATATATATTTATTAATAAAAAAAATCATCCCAGACTACTCTTTTGAAACAAAGATTGTCCAGATTGAGCCATATCTAAATGTCAGGCATGCTCTATTTTTTCTTTGTAATTTACCCACAATTAGGTAAATTTCCTTTATTTAAAAAAAAAAAAAGTATTACACCATCACCGGTCCATATTATTGTCCTCTGAAACGTTCTGGAAACAAATCTTTAGAAGGCGCTCACAATATTCCAATTCTTCCTGAAACAATAAAATAAAACAACACTCATTACGGGCGGTCAGCTTTATGCTGGGAAGTTGAATGGAGGTTAAAGCAGAATAATAATATTCTCAGATACTTAAATTCTCTAAATTGGATGTTGTTGTCGAGGGCAAGAGGCAAGAACTATTCATCCATTTCACATGGGAAACCCACACAAAACTTAACTTTAAGGATCAATGAAGGTCTATGTTGTCATATTTGTTCTTTAAGGATCCAATCCTAACTGGCATATTTTATTTAATTAAAGAATGCAAAGCTGCATTGGGAGCCATAGATAAAATATAGATATTCCAAGCTGCCGCTCTATAGATTCTATAGACAAGATTGTGATGTCTGCAAAGTGAAACATTTTGTCTTTAAAGGATCACTATAGTGTCAGGAAAACAAACTCGTTTTCCTGACACTATATCATCCTTGGAACCCCCCCGACCCTCAGGGCCCCCCTCCCGTGGCACTGAAGGGTTTAAAACCCCTTCAGCAACTTATATTTATCCAGCGCCGTGCTCCCTCAGCGCTAATGACCTCTTCTCCCCTGCCAACGTCAGCTCCCGAGTGGAGCGGAATGCGCATGCACGGCAAGAGCAACACGCGCATTCAATCAGTCCATGGAAAAGCATTTCTCAATGCTGTCCTATGGACGTTCTGCATGCTGGATGCAAATTTCGCATCCAGCGTCACAGAAGCGCCTCTAGCGGCTGTCAGGAAGACAGCCACTAGAGGTTGGATTAACCCTGCACTGTAAACATAGCAGCTTCTCTGAAATTGCTATGTTTACATCTGAAGGGTTAAAACCTGGGGGACCTGGCACCCAGACCACTTCATTGAGCAGTGACAGTTCCTTGTTGTTGCTATGAGAAGAACAGGAGCACCTGCAGATGATGCTGAATGCAAAAAATGAAATTTATCTTTTAATAAACTGTTAGATTGGTTGTCTGATTGACAGCCATAGCGTGTTTGGCCAGGGTATCAAGAAAAAATAAAATTATTGAGAGAGAGAGAGAGAGAGAGAGAGAGAGAGAGAGAGAGAGAGAGAGAGAGAGAGAGAGAAAGAGAGACAGAGACAGAGAGAGAGAGAGAGAGAGAGAGAGAGAGATTAAAACAGAAAACTGCTTATTTATCTAGCAGACTTCTTATATGGCCATACAGGTGTTCACTAAACAGTGAATAGTCAGAAATTAACCAATAGACTGCAAATTGTAGGCCAAAATAGCCAAATGGTGGAAGATCTAGACTAGACTATTTTTGCCTAAATTCTGCAGTTCCTTTGGGTCTTTAAAAGTTTGGTATCCTAAGCAGTGATGTAGTTTAGTGGTTTCTGGAGGACAGGCTGAAAATTGCTTAATATTAACAATTATCTTATTGCCCCAAAACCGACTCAGAATTCAGATCAGTGCAAAGGAATAATTCTGACGAACACTTTTTCACTTTTATAAAAGAAACACTAGGGAATTCATAAAAATCCAAAGGCAAGTTCTCAGCAACAGGAGAAGATAACATTATTTCTACTGAACTTCAACTACTCACAAAGATAGAATGTAGAGGGACTGATAACCAATTTTGGCAGATTGTGCCCCAACTAGCAGTTTTCACATTAGCGAGATAGTCAATTAACGGTTCGGATTTAATTGCAGATTGCAGGAAAACATTTAGCTGGGCTTCTGCAAATAACCGTTTCAGCTCAAAATACAAATCATAGTTAACAAGTAAATGAGTGCTTAAGAAAACTATACACTGCAAAGGTTATAATTTAGTCATGTTAAATTGCCCATTCAACATGGCTGTCTTATTAGATTACATCTCTAGCAGGCATTCTTATTCCAGCTACACAAAAAGGGGAATGATCATTGTGCGATGAAATTCTAACAAAGACTAATTGAACGTACTTCTAAAGGAATCATTCTATAAGGAGGAACATTCCGATTCAATTATATCTTACAGCAAAAACACTGTGCTATAAGAATAAGCATGTCAAAGCACGCAGATATATAGGGCCTCTTGGCATAATGTATTAGAAATTGCACGTCCAGTATTTCAGTAGACTGGGGACGCAAAGTCATTTTAACAAAACATTTTTTTCTACTGTACAAGGAGTAGCTTGTATTTAAGTATTGGTTTCCCTTCAAGGCAAATGTTTCATGTGAATGATATAATGAAATAGGAATGCAGCTGTTGAAAAGGATTCCTATAGGTTTTCACAACTACAGTTTTGAGTGTTCAAAGACAGCAAGTACTACGAAAATGACTGCATGTAGGTAAACAGACTTCATCTATTAATCGAGTTGCTGCCCTCACTAGTTCTTTTCCTTATTGACCACATATTGCAGTGTAACAAAATAAAAGAGCCAGGTTAATGGCATTTAAAGACAATCCATAAGAAGTTTACCAAAATGAAGAAGTTTTGGTGTGTAGATCATATCCTTGCAGTCTCACTACTAAACATTATGCTATTTAAGAGTTAAATTACTTTGTTTAAAATGTACACTGTAGGCACCTAGACTACTTAATCTCAATGAAGTAGTCTGGGTGCAGTGTACCTGCGATTTTAGCTCAACATTGTAAAATATTGCAGGTCTGAGCACCCTTCTAGTGGATTGGATGAAAAGACAAAGAAGAAGGCAGAGTAAGTCATGGTGTTTGGTAGGGGGTGGGAAAGAATTTCCCCCCCAATTTTTTTAATTTAATTTGGGACTCTGTATTTACATTCCTAACACTATACTGTTCCTTTATTGCACAGTGTGTTTAAATTGGAATATATTATCTCATGGCCTGTTAATTGTCTGCTATAGCCTACAGTAGTCTCATGTATGTGATTAAAGGTCAATTAACAGCGCAGGAGATAAGAGCTTCTAAGGTAAACACATTGTACTGCAAGACTAGTTTGAAACGGAAACCATTTTTTTTCATGTAGAGTGTGGAAATCAGAGCCAGGGAGGTGTAGCTAGGACCGCATAATCAAAGTGATTTTACTCTTAAATGGCATAGAATTAGGTAGTGAGACTACACAGACAAGATTTATACACCAAAATCACATAGTAAAGCTAAACTATTTAATATACAGATTTTTTTTATTTATTTTTTTAATAACGACATGATCGGTTTTTGGAATTTCACTGAAGCACCAATGCAACCAAGTCCTGTTCAGTGGAAATTTTCTGGAAATTGAACAAAACATTAAAAATTGAGAAAAAATGAGAAATAACAGTGAAATGTAAATAGTACATTTCCTAGTTAGTACCATTTCTAGAGATTCCTTTAATTTATGCATACCTGAAACTCTTCTTGTTTTTGTATCAGTTGACATCGTTCTTTAAGGAAGTCTTCAAAAGCTAAATCAGGGATACGGCATTCAGTCACTCCCCGTGGGAAATCTGTTACCAAACTGAAATATGTAAGAACATTATTACCTTCCCTTAATACAGATTAAACTGCTTATAAATGAAATCAACTGCTCCACCATCAGATGAATTTGGTGGGGACTTGAGTAAAAAACTGATATTAGGAAGCTTTCACCATATTCAATGGAAGTCAAAAGTTGACCATATGCTTATCAATGATCTAGGCTTGGAAGACATAATGTGGAATTAATTTACGTAGTGCAACAGGGAGGCTATATATGTGCAATGAAAAAAAAATTACACTTTGTTCAACATCAACTTAGAAAATACATGTTTTGCCTGATTCAATTGCCCTACAAGGATATACAAGAAGTGGCTTAATCTATCTAACAGAGAGCTGTGAATTAAGTGCTAACATAAGTGGGGACTTGTACAGCATGAACAAAGAGAGCAGTTTGTTCTGATGCTTAGAGTGTCCCTTAAACTCAAAAGAAAGATTTGTCTCGTGGCTTTCTACATAGCTTTCTACATAGCTGAACATATCATTTTTTTTTTTGTTTAAGCACAAACACTGCTTCTGTTCTGAATTTACAAAGTCAACTCTTGTGGCAAAACACTTATTGCTATAAATCTCAGTGGATGAATAAATCTCTAGCAATGTGAACTGCCGCAACTCTAAGTTGCAATTGGGGTTATCCACCATATGCTAAATGCACCATACGATGCTGGACTTAAACGTACTGGCATATTTGTTGCTCCAATATCAGCATGAAAAAAAAATAAAATCTGATGGTCAAGAAAATTAGGAATATATTTATACAATATGCCAACTTAGAGTTGCAGCAAATCTGTGAATATCTGCACCAACAGAGTTATTTACTGAAGTGAGAATTCAGAGGCCATTTAAGGCCAGATCAGCGTAAGTGGAAGCATAGCCAACTTAGAATGTTTTTCCAGTTCAGGTATTTTGACCTTAAACTTGAAATTCTTGAAATTCACTTTAAATCCACCTAGAAGTCTCAGTTTAGTAACTAACCCGGAAAGTGTCAGAATTGCCACGTAGCACAAGCCTCCCAATTGCTTCATAAAAATAACTTATTCCAAGTGTTCTTTTAGAAGCACTTCAACCTGCATATTCAAATGAATGCAAGGGAATGATTAACTGGAACAACCGTGAGTCAGTAAAAATATCTATATATATAAAAAAAAAAAATAAAAAAAAAAAAAAGGATCTGGATCGAATATTAAAAAAATAAATAAAAATCCTTGTTAAACAATACATTTTTTTTTACTAACATAGAAACATAGAAAGTGACTGTTTGGCCCATCTAGTCTGCCCAATTTTCTAAATACTTTCATTAGTCCTTGGCCTTAACTTAAGTCTAGGATAGTCTTATGCCTAACCCACTATTGCTCACAATACTCCTTAGACATGGTTTATATGCAAATAAATGGCAAGTAGAAAACAATACATTCTAGCTTGGGATACAGAGATTCAATAGAATAGATGATTCTCCATTCTCTCTCTTGTTAAAGTTAATGTTGAGTAATATTGACTGTTAAAGTACAACTCCAGGCACCATGACCACTTCAGTGTTTTGGTGCTTGAAGTATGTATGTGCAGCATTTTGCTGTGCAGTATCCAGATGTTGTTCAGCCAGCAGGACAGGAGCATTGATGCCTAGTGCGACCCAGGTGGCAGAGTAAACCATTGCTAAACGGTTTGCCCCATTACCAGGGACCAGCGTCAGGGTACTCCTGGAATCATAAAAGCAGGCTATAGTGTTTATTGTGCTTGGAGTAGTCCTTTAATCAGTGGATTAAACCGGCGCTTTTTTGTTAAGCATAGTTTTTTTTCTATCCCAATTACTTTTAATATTCTTAGCAGTGTCAGAACTGATTTGTTTGTGTTGGTGGGGAAATCTTTAAGAAATAAAAAAAAACAAAAAAAACTTTAAATATATTCTTTAGGTTTTCCATAGACATTGAACAGAAAAAAATACCCTTGAAATTAAGAAGAATAAAAAAAATAAAAAAAATAAATACCAACTCAAAAACCCAACCTAGAACATGTATTGCATAAAACGCATGCTTAAAACTGGCAATTTTGGCAACCAGCTGAGGAAGAGAAATAAGACACCTTGTCACCTTTTACTAAAAAATAAAATTAAATAGCAGATCTAAGATTTTTACCATTGAAAATTAAAGGATCGCTAAAGTCACCCAGACCACTTTATATTAATGCCTGCAAAACCTCCAGATCTCTTGCCTCTTCTGCCAGCCCAGCCTAGGCTTTCTGTGGCTGTCCACACACAGACTTCCCAATGCAGCTCAATGAGAAGTCTTTGCAAGGCAGGTGCCCTGAGCAATTGCTGCCTCTTGAGTATAGCTTCATTGAATTAAACAACCAGGAAACTGCAGTTTCTGACTTACAGCCAGGGGTTGTAATAAGGTTAATTTCTAGATGTGTCCATTTCTATTCAAATATGTACTTTTAAATTGGAAAATGAAAAAAGAAGAAAAAGAGCACACACTCTTCACAAATAAAGCAGTACATCAAGCTGGGGTCTAGACGTTTTCTCCTCTAGAACGGAGTGAAATGCAGCTCGTATCTTAAATCCAATGCTTCTCCATGAGAAGAATTGGACTGAACGAGATCGCTGATGAAGGTGGAGCGGGCAGCTGCAGAAGAAAAGACTCCGTGCTAGAAACTAGGTAACTAATAATTAACTTAGCAGTTAATTTCCATTTGCAAAGGGTGATAGACAAACAGGGGTGGCAATATGGGAACCTAAAGTCCCACAAAAACAAATTTTGGGACTATAGTTTTCCTTTAATAAAACATAGTTTAATAGGGTTAACTTTGTTTTTGACTCTCTATTGTAGTGACAAACAAACTGAAACAAACGTGTCCTTTATTACATTGATGACTAAACCTAGAGCAAAAGGTTTTCATGAACTAGCAGGCCGTTAAAGGTCGGACATGTAGTAACAAGCAATCACTTTGCCAGGGTTTACAATCAATCTGATTGATTTACGATCTATCATCCAGCTATTATGGCATGATAAAAGATGCTCTATTTTTTACACATAAAAATCCCCCATCAACAAAAAGCTCTATTCCCTTTGCCTCTCGTAAGACAATTTTGATAATTAAAAAACAAAACAAAAAAGTTGAGTTTCATGAAAGTCTGTTTGTTTAAGAATTTTTATCATTATCCTGTTACATATTAAAGACATGCCGAGAAAGAAATAGTCCTATTTACCTGCAGAGGGCTGATAGCACATGTTCATGGAAAGGGCTGTGTTCTGTGTGAAGCAAAGAAATCAGCTGCTGTATCATTCCCATGGACCACAGCGTCTCTAAAAGAACAAACCAAGAAGCAGTTCTATCATACAGACCACACAACATGTGCAATGAAAACTAGAGAGATCTTGCACACCAACAATCAATGACTAGACAGAACTCTTCAATCAAGATGCAAGATACCAAGAACTTGTCTTTATTCTTCTTTTAAAAAAAACTTAAAAACATATCCCTATAGATTAAATCAATGGTTGACCTGACCACAAATACAGTCACACAGTATAAATCACAAAGTATCAAGGTGTGAACTAAGGGGGGCACAGGATGCAGTTCACTGAGGTGCCTCACTTTTCAAGGTAGACTTACCATGTCTGCAACTTCTATAGATTCTTTGTTCAGTTACTCACCCAACTACCTTGTCAACAGCAGACACAACTAATGTGGTCCCTCCCAGAGTCCCAGCAGCCCCAATTTAGTAACATTCACCTGTCCTAACATGATCACATACTCCCAAACTGTTACATACCATCACATTCACCTAGCCACACATACTGTTATATAGTAACAAAGTGATATGCAGTCAGTCACATTTTCCCACCCTCTGAACACATATTTACCAATCCCGCCACATGCTTAGTCATAGCCACACTCACTCTCCCCATCACATATTACCCATCAACTACATCCCTGTTCACTTACCCCATCCAACTGATTACCTACCAAACGTCCCAGTCACACAGTCACCCTGCACCCAACAAACTTTGTCTGTCCACCAATGAAGCAATTCACCTACCTACACCTTCATATGTTACGCACAAACTGACATACACAAATTATATACAGGCCCTTAACCCCTTAAGGACACATGACATGTGTGACATGTCATGATTCCCTTTTATTCCAGAAGTTTGGTCCTTAAGGGGTTAAACACGTGTGCACATTCACAAAATACATTTGCATTCACATATACACATTTGTAAGAAATCTGCTCCTGTAGGCTGGTTTAGGGATGTTGGGTCCCACCGACATCTGCAGTGTTATAGCTCATCATCATTACTTGTCACTATATTTCACTAGATTGCAGAGAACTAGATTTTCTTTGATTCTTTTATTTTGAAAGAAGTGAGGCATGTAATAGGATCAGACATATACAGGAAGGGGAGCACGAGGTGGAAGAGAAGATCAATTTAGCCACATCCATATATGGAAATGAAAAGTCCGGCATCCAGGAGTCAGTGACCCTTGACGCATCCCTACTCAGAACTAAATATGTACAGGTAATGTATGACCGAATTAGTGGTAAAAGTCTTAGCAAAAGCATTTTAATAGATTTGAGAGCAGCAGCATCTGAAGTTCAAGGGGAAAATGTAAGTAAAAGGAACACTCCGCAAACACCGACATAACTTGCTGTATATTATTACACATTCAAATCTTTTTAGCTTTGCTAAAATATATAGCTCTCTCTATATCAGGGCTTGACAAATTTACTTTGAATCTAGGAGCCAGCTAAAAAGGTTCGGAGCCAAATACAATTCGTAAATGGACACTACAGTCACCAGGACCACTACAGCTTAATGTAGTGGTTCTGGTGTCTATAGCCTGTCCCTGCAGACTTTTTAATGTAAACACTGCCTTTTCGAAGTGTTTACATTGCTTACTAGTGACACTTCGAGTGACCGTCACTCAGACGGTCAATAGAGGTGCTTCCTGTGTCAGTGCTGCACTGTGTGTGCTGACACTCCCCATAGAGATGCATTGATTCAATGCATCTCTATGAGAAGATGCTCATTGGTGCAGCATTTTGTAGCCAATCCTATAAAAAAAACTTAGGATTGGCTGAGATCATTAAGTTTGATCATCTCAGCCATAGAGGCAGGGCAGTCGAGGAGAGGCCAGCACAGCGACCAGCACATAAAAAAAATAAAAACACGTCCACCCCTTAGCCACGTCTCCCCCTTTTCAGAAAACATTTTCAGGATTGGTAAACAGTGCAGCTGAGCCAATAACAGATCAGTGTGAGTTGAACTACTTACATGAATACACACCACAACCAATCACTATACTTTTATTATCGCTATAGCATTTAAAAGTAGTGCTAAGGGAAAAGGAGATAAATAAAGTATGATGTGTCACGAGAGCGGACACTTAACAAAAGAGGAGCACTGCTTTCAATGCGACAGTGTCAATGTGGGTAGTATCAGTCTACACAGGACATGAACCTAAATATAGAATTGGAAAAAAAATATACTGGAAAAAGCTTTCTCCATTATATTTTTTTCAATGCTAAGGGAAAAGGTGGCAAATAACAAGAGGGCGGTGATTGGCTGTGTGGCAGAGCAATGTCAGAATCTCAGCTCACACAGATCTCATATGTACAGGATGCCTACATACATCAAGGAAATCATTGTGAACAAAGGAGATGTAATTAACGCGGCCATGTTATGCTGCAGAAAGTTGCAAAACAAAAAATAGTTTTTTTAAAAAGAAAAACTAAGAGGGATTTGAATGTGTAGAAATTTCAGCATGAATAGAAGGCCAAAATCTAACAAATGCAGTTGTGTTGGCCCCTGGAGTGTACCTTCAAACATAGAGTGCATAAATATATTAATTATATAAGACTTACATGGTCATGGGCAAAACTATAAATATAGATCTTGCATTCAGTCTGGGTTATATTCTGAGTGTTAAGATCATGATATCAACATCCTTAAAGGACCACTATAGTGCCAGGAAAACATACTCGTTTTCCTGGCTCTACAGGGTCCTTGGGTCCCCCTTACCCTCAGGACCCCCCTCCCGCCGGGCTCTAGAGTGAGGAAGGGATTAATCCCTTACCTTTTTTCCAGCGCCGGGCTCCCTCGGCGCTGGGACTCTCCTCCTCCTTTCCCGTCATCGGCTGAATGCGCATGCACGGCACGCGCATTCAGCTAGTCTCAATGCTTTCCTATGGACGCTGGCGTCTTCTCACTGTGAAAATCACGGTGAGAAGCACCTCTAGCAGCTGTCAATGAGACAGCCACTAGAGGCTGGATTACCCCTATTGTAAACATAGCAGTTTCTTAGAAACTGCTATGTTTACAGCAGAATGGGTTAATCCTAGATGGACCTGGCACCCAGATTACTTCATTAAGCTGAAGTGGTCTGGGTGCCTATAGTGGTCCTTTAATAAAGCCATACTGGAAAATTTCTATACCCCCAAGCTATGGAGCAACACAATAACCGCTCTGGGAAAGACTGCCCTACACTGGTAAAGGTGCATCTATAGCAAGTGACAAAGAGTGAACACACCATACATGTGAAACAGTGTACTGTACTTGGCAGTATAAAAAACACTCTTCATTACCTTTATGCTCTGGGTGACTAAGCAGTAAGTTCTGCAATAAGAAAGCAGATTTAACTTTCAGCTTGAGCACGTTGCTTTGCATGGCACGCATTAACACAGAGAACCCATCCAAGTTTACAAACTCCGTAAGACCAGCTTCCTGCTCCCGTACCAAGCCTGGACAAAGAAGAACGATTGCATAATGTTATCATGGTGCTGATAATCTAAATCATTCACCAGAAATGTAAAGCTTCAAAATCAATTCACGTTATATAAATGGCAACACTGGTGCAAATATGTGTTGTATTTAAAATCTTACATACTTACATAGCTGAAAAGAGACTTGCGTCCATCAAGTTAAGCCTTCCTCACATATGTTGTTGCTGTTGATCCAAAAGAAGGCAAAAAACCTGGTCTGAAGCGCTTCCAATTTTGCCACAAACTAGGAAAAATTCCTTCTCGACTTCAAAATAGCAGTCAGATGTCTCTTTGGATCAAGCAGCTATTACCCCACTAATTTGAAATTATATCCCTGTATGTTATGTTTTTGTAAGTATTTATACAATTTCAGTTTAAACATCTGTATGGACTCTGACAAAACCTCAGAATTCCATATCCTTATTGTTCTTACTGTAAAAAAACCTTTTCTTTGCCTTAGATGAAATCTTTCTTCCAGCCTAAATGCGTGACCTTGTGTCCTATGTATAGCCCTGTTTATGAATAGATTTCCAGATAAAGGTTTGTACTGGCCCCGAATATATTTGTATAAAGTTATCATATCCCCTCACAGGCGCCGTTTTTCCAATCTAAAACAGATTTAATTTTTTTAACCTTTCTTCATAACTAAAATGCTCCATTCCTTTTATCAATTTTGTAGCTAGTCTCTGGACCCTCTCCAGTGCCATGATATCCTTCTTTAGAACAGGCGCCCAAAATTGCACAGCATATTCAAGGTGTTGTCTTACCAGCGATTTATAAAGAGGCAAAATTATATTTTCATCCGAGAATTTATGCCCCTATTTATACATGACAAAATCTTACTGGCCTTAGCAACTGCAGTGTGACATTGCATATTGCTGCCTAATTTGTGGTCTATAACAATTTCCAAATCCTTCTCGTGTGTGGTTATCCCTAATTCACTACCATTTAGTGTGTAATTTGCTTGTGCATTCTTAACCCCGAAGTGCATAACTTTGCATTTCTCTATGTTAAATTTCATCTGCCATTTTAGTGCCCAGTCCCCCAATCTATCCAAATCTCTCTGCAGCAAAGCAATATCCTGCTCACATTTTATTACTTTACAAAGTTTTGTGTCATCTGCAAACACTGATACATGGCTTTCAATGCCTATTTCAAGATCATTTATAAATATGTTAAATAGAAGTGGTCCCAAAACATTACCCGGAGGGACACCACTTACCACTTTTGTCCAGCCTGAAAATTTACCATTAATTACAACTCATCTAAAACTCTACATTATTGATCTTGTCATTTATTTATTTACTTTTTTGGACATTATTTTTGTCATGCGAGCAGACAGGCAAATAGTAACATGTCAGTAAGGATGCATATGACAAGCAGAGTTTCAGGTATGGGTCAAAACGTGTTAGGAGTATCGTACTTTTTTTTGTAAGGAAATGAAAATAAGAATGTTAAGGGTAGACATGTTAGACACTTCATGCTAGACATATATGTCAGGAGTGCAGAACCAATCAGGTATAACTAGATAAACAATAAAATAAAACAAGTGATTGTATAAGTCTTGGCATGTTCATTAAGAAAAGAATAAAATAAAAATAACATACTGAACATAGTATATACATAATATTATGCTGTTGTAACCAGAGAGGTTAGAGTTGGAGAAGATAAGTCGCTTTGATTTGGCGCCGTACCTTGCATTGCAGGAACAAATGTGGCAGGTATTCAGTGTGGGCATTTTATTGTATGTTATAATGATTGGCATTACAATTGCTTTGTTTATTTGCAATTTACAGATGTACCTTTTATGTACACCTGCATTTTGCTTCCATTATTCTGTGCACAATATGCATAAAATGTGAAATATGTAAAATTTTAAAGGAGAATTGCTACAGATAGCACCCTCTGTTCTATGCGTCCAGCTCATCTTTTTGCAAATATAGCTCTGTTAGCCCACCCATTGCACACCACTACAGAATTTGTTAGCGCTTTATAAATAATAATTATAATAATGTTTCTGTGAAGGGTAAGTCTTATGTCTAAAATCAATTAAAGAGACTGCATTTAAAGAAGGGCTCGAGAAATCTCAGACACCAGGTTGCCATGGTAAATAGAAATTTTGTGAGGTCATTCCCTCTGAGGCGGGCGGCCGGTTGCGCAACTGTAGACCGGAGGCGAGGGAGCTGTGATCTTCCTGACCTGCTCTGGTGCACGGCGCTTAGTGATGCAAGGGTTGGCATCACTAAGCGGTGATCTCCCTGCTCTGCTCCCTTGTCGCTTGCCTCACTGTCACCCAGCTGGCCACACACTGGATCCCAAGGAAAATCAGATCCACCCCAGCTCTCCCAAAGGTAGGGAAGCTGAGTGGTCTTAAATTGAATTCAAAGAAATAATAATTTGTGAGTGTGTGTGTCTGTCAGTCAGTGTATGTGTGTGTCTGTCAGTGTATGTGTATCTGTCATGGTATGTCTGCCTCTCATGATATATGTCTGCCTGTCAGTGTATGTGTGTTTAGGTGACCAACCCCACTCTGATCACAAAGGAATGGGTTTTTTCTCTGAAAAGGCAGTGTTGTACATTATTATTAGCATTTATAGGGCGCCAACAAATTCTGTAGCACTTTACAATATTATAAGAGGGGGAGATTTAACAATAAATGAGAATTAAAAAACTTACAGGAACAATAGTTTGAAGAGGAACCTGCTTAAATGAGCTTACAGTCTATGTATAGAGAATATACATATACTGGTGTGCACAGTTCACGGCACACAAAAAAAAAAAATACAAGTTAATTAATTTTTAAAAAGGGGTTTGCTTTCATGGTATTAAATCACACCTCCATTTTTCTGTCACTTACATGAAATGGCAAAAAGGGACTTTATCCTGACCGCTTCATTTTTGTCAAGGTCCACCAATTTCAAGAGTTTATTCACAGCTCCAAGGCTCAGCGCAGTCTCCTGAACAAGTGGCACATTCTGACTGCAAATGCCAATCAGGTCAGCAGCTCTCCAGCGCAGTCCATCCTCCAGGCAATTCAAATAGCGACTCAGCAACAAATGCATACCACCCAACTTGCAAAAATCTGGGGGGGAGATTGGTATGGAAAAGAAGCAGAACACATCAAACACTTTGCAACCCAAAAAGAGCATACAGACACTGAATAAAAACTATACTCTTATACATAAGGTGGTCAACATTACTTATATTCAAATGAAGGATCTTGTAAAACTTTTCAAAGCAGAATTAGTATTGTCTTTCTTAAATTAGGCCAGATATCATCACCTATAAATAAGATTACAGGCTCAGTTAATCCCAATACAGCCCCAATTTATGAAAATGAAAGCGTATAAAAATCCTATCAACTCACAGTTTAAATTGTGATATTGAAAGATTTGCAATTTAAAAATATATTGCTGAAATTAAAACAATTATTGTTGAAAAACAATATGAACCAAATTATTTTGAACTATTCAATGCATTTTTTCTGTTTTATTGTTTGTTATTTTAAACATGTTTTTCCAATGATTAACAGAATGTTTGTATGTAGTTAGTGAAGAGTACTGGACAATTAGTCAGGAATAACTATTAAAAGAAATGGATGGTCTGGATACATAAAAATAAAAGTTTCAGCACCAACTGCAAAAAAAATATTACTTAAAGGAACACTATAGGGCAGGGGTATCAAACTCAAATTCATCGGGGGCTGCATCAGCAGTTTGGTCACCCTCAAAGGGCCGGTTGTATCAGTAGGACTATGTGTCCACTCTTTATTATCATAAATTATTGTCACTGCATTCAATTATTACTGTTTTTTGTGTATGGGGGCAGTATGGGTGTATGGGGGCAGTGTGTGTGTATGGGGGCAGTGTGTGCATATGGGGGGCAGTGTGTGTATGGGGGGCAGTGTGGGGGCAGTGTGTGTGTATGGGGGCAGTGTGGGTGTATTGGGGGCAGTGTGGGTGTATGGGGGGCAGTGTGGGTGTGTAGAGTGTGTGTGTGTGATATAAGGGTAGGGGGGCTTTTATATATATATATATATAATTTTAATTAAAATATATATTTATGTCCCCCCTCCCTTCTTACCTTTACTGGGGGGAGGGGGTACATTTCCCTGGTGGTCCGGTGGGGGATTCATTGGTGGTCCCAGTGGGGAGAGTGAACTCTAGCCCACGCTCCAGGGCTAGAGTTCACTCTCGCGAGATTTGGAGCGTTGCCATGGTAACCGCGGCAACGCTCCAACTTCCGCGAGAGGAGGACCCGGAGGAGCTGCAGCCTGAGCTCCGGGTCCTCTATCCCTCCCTCCCCTGCCGGCTGTCAGCACTGTGCCTGCGGACCGGGGAGGGAGATCTGTGATCTGGGCTGGCGGCCGGCGGTGGCTACACGGGCCACATGACGAGGACTGGCGGGCCGGATTCGGCCCACAGGCCTTGTGTTTGACACCCGTGCTATAGGGTCAGGAACACAAACATGTAGTCTTTTTTCTATAGTGTTAAAAACACTATCAAGCTCCCCTACTCCCCTTTTGACCCTGTGCAAATGAATCAATGCATCTTTAAGGGGAAAGTTCAGTGTCTCAACTGTGCAGCACCACCCCAGGAAGCACTTCTAGCAGCCTGCAGAGGTATCCCTAGGCGGTAATGTAAACAATGCCTTTTCTCTGAAGAGACAGTGGTTATTGCAAGAAGCCTGAAAATACTGTTTATACTCATCAGAACAAATACAATAAGCAGTAGTAACAGCAGAATATACGTGTTTTGCACAATATGCGTAGTTTACCAAGATACTATCGATAGAAAAATCCAGTTTGGCTTTAGGACTGGATACGTGAATACAGTGGTGTCCAGGTTAAGTTGGAAAAAAAAACCAAGAAAACACTGGAAAACTAAACAAGGCTGTGTGAGCACAACTCACACAATTTAGTAAAAGCTTAAATGGGATTAGGGAACAAGACTATGGTATTAAAAGAGAGCCATGAGTGGTAAAAAAATAAAAATAAATAGGTAACAAAAAAAACAAAAAACAAAAAAAAAAAAAACACAGATGGATTGCAGGGAGAAGGGCCAGTACTAAGAGAGCACAAATCAGACAAACATCTTATTTTCACAGACGAGCCATTTCCATTCAAAAAATTTAATATATTTTTAGTATTGAAACAATTCACCCGCTTACCAGCAGCATTGTCAAGGTTTTCACAGAGGTCAGCTAGCAGCTCCAGAGCCTGCTCCTTCCGTTCCTCCTGATCCTCTCCACTTGTCTCGTTGCTCAATTCCTGAATACATTCTTTCATTTGCTGAACCTCATCTGCCTGGCCTGCAAAAGCGCTGCTCATTGCTTCCTGGAGCCATTGTCGCCTCTGAGAATTAGGGGGAAAGGGCAAAAACTGAGTTTGAAGATAACTTGGAAAACTGTTTGATTATAAACTACATTCTATAGTTTGAACAAATACTCGAATTTGTATCATAGCATGCAAATATTAGTGCGGGTATGTCCGAGTCTTCCTGCGTACTCACATGTCTGCCCATCTTCCTGTCAAATTCCACTTATTTCTTTTGAAGCAAAAACAAAAGGTGTGAGCTCTTAGGGCAAAAGCTTACAGAAACTCAATAGCTAGCCCTTCGGTAAATCCCCTCTCAGGTCTCTAAATATTTTTTCTCATTTGTGCCATTAAAGAGTGAACCTATATAATTTGCATATCGGGCGGATCCCACACAGATCCAAAGAATAGCAAGTTTTCACTGCATTAGAGATACAGCAACCCCAGATTATTGTTCCGGCCTTCTTTGGGCCTCATCAGTGAGGTGTAGCTGATACTCCTGTAGGATCACAGCGATCATTTTAAAGGACCACTATAGGCACCCAGACCACTTCAGCTTAATGAAGTGGTCTGGGTGCCGGGTCCATCTAGGGTTAATCCAGCCTCTAGTGGCTGTCTCATTGACAGCTGCTAGAGGCGGTTCCGCGCTTCTCACTGTGATTTTCACAGTGAGAAGAAGCCAGCGTCCATAGGAAAGCATTGGTAATGCTTTCCTATGGACTGGCTGAATGCGCGCGCGGCATGCACATTCAGCCGATGACGGGAAAGAAGGAGGAGAGTCCCCACTGCCGAGAGAGCCCGACGGGGGAAAAAAGGTAAGATTTAACACCTTCCACCCCCTAGAGCCCGGCGGGAGGGGGGCCCTAGAGATCCTATGGTGCCAGGAAAACAAGTATGTTTTCCTGGCACTATAGTGGTCCTTTAACTTAGGGAGAGCCTAAGTACATGTATTGCAGCAAAAAAAAAAATCCCAAAACATTGGAATATTGGAACTCTGAGAATGGCCACAAGCTTAGAGAAACCCACTCAGATCTCAAGATATTTTTTTTACTCAATTTCGGAGGTGGACTGCCCTTATGGGCAGGATCAGTCAGATATGCAAATCGTATAGGCCCACTGTAATGCAATGCACTGATAAAACAGCACATAACTATATATGTATACTTAAACACTCTTAAGGAGAAAAATAATTTGTTTTTTCCCAAGCAGCAGAAATTAAATTTCAAAAGCGTTTTCGTCTGTTTAATATCAGTGAGCACATCAGCTGTATGGGACACCCTCTACTCACACAGAGTATTAGAGTGAATCCATCTGGAGATGAAATGCTTGGACGGATTAGAAGTGTCAGAAATGCATGAGAGCTAATGGTCACTTTGCAGATCTAAATTTATAGCTGGAAAACATAAAAATCTGAGGAACAATTAGCGAGTGCATTATTAGCTTAGACACACTGGGATCAGAGTGTGCTTCATCATTAGTTGGTGTCAACATGGTTTTAGAAGGAACAGGTCACTTCAAACTAATTTATTTGCTTTTTATGATTATATTAAGTCATAACATAGGAGATGTGGAATTGAGCACAAGGTCAGAATATATATAATTATTTTTTTTTTTCTACACATGCGAACATGAATTTATGGAGTGATTACTTAACATGTGGATATCTATTTAATAAGGATAATTTAGCACACTACAAGAATGGCATATATATATATATATATATATATTTTATTATTTTTTTCCTTAATTAACATTAAATATGTCACAACCAAATTAATTACTATATATATATATAATATAATATAATAATAATAATAATAATAATAATAATAATAATATTATGAAGAATCTTGCACTCCACCTAATACAGTTCCTTGCCTGGTGCTTCTCCAGCAAAAATGCAGTAAGCCATGTAAGGATAGCACTCTCAGGACTTTGAAATAAAACTTAGATTTTATTACCTTGTAAACAACAGCATCAACGTTTCAGCTTGATCCTGATGAAAGCTTGAGGGGATCAAGCTGAAACGTTGATGCTGTTGTTTACAAGGTAATAAAATCTAAGTTTTATTTCAAAGTCCTGAGAGTGCTATCCTTACATGACTTTCTCTCTCTTCTATGTTTTAGGGACTACTTTATCTCAGTATTTTCTTCCATGATTGATACCTCTAGACATTGAATGGAGCCATCGCTGTCTAGAAGTTTCAATCCCCCAGCGGTCTCCAGTAACAGCTGCATGGAATTGGCTCTATCTATGGAGGATCCTGCGGTCTTATGGGATCCTCCATAGACGTTAATGCTGCACTTAAGCACATGTAACACAGTTACATCGGCTCCTGGCGTGACCGACCGAATAAGATGACGGCGTCTGCGAGGTACAGGTTGAGGTAAGTTAAACTCACCTTTGCCTGCCCTCCCTGGCCATCAGACCCCTAGAGCCGATATCACCGTCAGTGACAGTCCCACTTTAACACCCCCATCCTCTAAAAATTGTATTTGGCTCCATTAAAACCCCTTTAGCAAGGCATTTTGGTAAGTGTTAGGTTCGAATAAGAGACATGCATCTTGGCTTGCATCCTAGTGACACTACGAAGTGACATTCATGTGGACCGTTGCAAGAAGCATGGAATAAGCAGGGTATATTTGATCCTCATTTTTAGATAAAGCAGATAGCAAATGTAAAATTATTGTATGCTTGAACAGCAAAACTACACCTGTTGAGGGGCGCTGCTTGACTGCCATGCTGAGTGGCCACACTTTGTTTGAGCTCTGCAAAGAATCTTGTGTTTTTCGACCATTTATGGACTCTCAGCTACTCTTATTCAAGCCTGAATTCACTTCAGAATTCCCCACGCCTGTGTGAGCACCATTTCCCCTCTGTATGACAATAAACCTACACAGGAAGCTCCTGTGGCCTATGTATGGCCTCCCAGATTGCGGGGACCCTCTGCCGGTGAGGGATATCCCAGTACACATCTACCTTGGGTCCTGCAGTACCACCATCAGAAGCAAAGTCACACCTAAGATGGCAGATGCCTCATGTCCACTGGGCCCGCAACCCGATCTTGAATCTAGGTTCGACAGAATCTTCTAAGACAGGGCTCGACAAATCCCAGGCGCCAGATCGCCACGGTGACTAGAAATTGCTCTATAGTTTGGGAGGGAGCTTTGACGGAGGCTGTCATGGAGAATATTGGAGGCAGCCGCCAGCGGGTACATGGAGGTGTCCACCCGCCCGTGGGTATATGGAGGTGGGCGGGCGGGCGGCCGCCCTGAGGAGCACGGAGGAGGCAGCCGCCCTGAGGAGCATTGTGGGCGGCGCGTGAGGGAGCAGTTCTCTGCTTGCAGCTGCTCTCTGCTCCCTCGCGGTGTCTAATGATGTTGGGAGCCGGAATATGACGTCATTCCGGCCCCGGCATCATTACAGTTCGCGAGGGAGCAGAGAGGAGCTACAGGCAGAGGACTGCTCCCTCGCACACAGGAAGAGTACAGCCCCACTGGACCCCAGGAAAGACCCTCTGAGCTCTCCCAAAGGTAGGGAGGCTGCGTGGGTTTCAATTCAAATAAAAATGTGTGTGTGTGTAAGCCTGTGTGAGCCTGTCAGAGTGTCTGTATTTGTGTGTGAGAGCCCGTCAAGAGAGTGTGTTTGAGTGCCTGTCTGAGTTTGTGTGTGCGAGTGTGTCAGAATGTGTGTGTGCAAGGCTGTTGTCAGCGTAAGAATGTGTGAGAGCCTGTCAAGAGTTTATGTGTGTGTGTGTGAGATCCTGTCAGTGTGTGCGCTCTTAGGTACCTGCTCCTCCGATCGCATGAGGAAGGTGTTTTTCCCACACCGTGCCAGTTTCGCCATGGCTGAGATGATCAATCTTTATAATCTCAGCTAAGGCAATGCTATCCCTTAGGAAAACATAGGGAGGATTTTGTGCATGCGCAGCAAATGTACCAATCTGCATCTCCTCATAGAGATGCATTACATTAATCAATCTCTATGAGGAATATTCAGCTCCTCCATGCAGAGCTTGGAGACACTGAACCTGGGTGTTGCACGTGACCCAGGACTCTCTAGTGGCCATCTGAGTGACTGTCACTAGAGGTGTTACTAAGCAGCAATGTAAACTGCCTTTTTTCGCAGAAAAGGCAGTGTTTACACTGAAACGCTTGCAGGGACAGGCTATAGACACCAGAACAACTACATCAAGCTGTAGTGGTTCTGGTGACTATATTGTCCCTTTAAGAATTGCATTTCCTTGTTGAAAATTACTGGCTCCTAACTTTTTTAGCTGGCTCCTATATTCCAAACAAGTTTGTCAAGCCCTGTTCTAAGAATTCTGGGCCAAGTTGACCAGCAGAATGCAGAGCCCCACACTGGAACTGCCAACCACTGACCTACCTTAACGACTGCAAACTCCAGTGGTACCACCACAGAGGGACATGTAATCGAGGTCTGGAACGGGGCCAGGGCAGAGCCGAAGACCTGTGCCGCCCACCAAGACTCTCCCTTCCCCTCGGTTTGCCAGGAAGCCCCGGAGCCGATCCTATCATTGGCCTAACTGTGCAAGCCGTCACATCACCAGCACACCATCTCAACCTGGGACTTACCCTAATGGGTCGGCTCAAACGGAGCTACGGTGTTGGAAGCAGTCAGAGAACCAGCTGGATCAGGGTCAATAGCAACATAGGCCTCAGTGTGCCATGTTGGACTTTGCATTCCCTATGCAGGGGGTAGATTGACTAAATCATGAGAGCACTTATCAGGGCGCCAGTTTACAGTCCTGGGCAATGCTCTATTTTTAATACATGCCATACATAAACATATGGGACACAAGTGTCTTACTTTGTGCACAGGCTGAATTGTAAATCTTGTTTTGTTTATTATTATTTTCTTACCTTCTGAGGCAGCTGTTATATGTATTATGTTTTTATTCTTGATGGGCCTTAGTGGTTTTAATTTCTTTCCATCAGACAAGCATCATAGCCTGCTTACTTACTACTCAATCGCTATACTTGCCTTTGGCTATCGGCCTGAAAGTTCAGATTATCGGTATCGGCTCTAAAAAAAACAAAAAATCAATATCGGTCGAACTCTATTGATAAGGGTACAGCAGTTCATGGTCTAAGAAAATATATATGTATTTTATTTTTTTTAAATCAAATGTGCTATGGTACATGCTTAAGAAGCAAAGCCTTTGTAAATATAATTCCTGTTTAACGTCCAAATGGAGGTTAGCCAGAAAGGGGTATTAACATAATACCCATTTTGGCAGCAGTCCTCAACTGACATACTAATGCAGACATGATTAATATTTCGAAAGTGCTCGATCTAACCTTGGTATAAAAAGTTCTGTTGTTGCATCCCACACATAATCCAACAGAAAGAACACTAAATATTCACTGCAGCTTTTCAGTCACAGAGTCATTCGCATTCTCTAAAGACATATGGGATCATTACTTGTGCTGGCCATGGTATCAACACAAAAGGTGTCCAGCGTTAGTCCTGCAGGTGTTGTTGGACTACATTTCCTATAATTCTCAGCTGGAGAACCAAAGCCGACAAACAGTACACAAGACCAGATTAAAATGTCAAATTATGAAAATCCAGGGTAGTGATGGCAAGCCTACTGCCACAACTGGCAAGGAAAGCTAACAGAGTGCCTGCTGAGGTTAGGACAACAGCACAGCTACACAACGAAAGCTGCACCTCGGTGCTACTTACACCCTGACTCCTGCACACCCACAATAGAGGCCAACAGCAAAGGGTATCAAATAAACAACCAATGAAAACCCTTCTCATTTTATCTGTTTGCCAGGCTTACACTAACATTGTGCATGTGCCATCCGGAAGTGCCGAGATCCTAAAGACCTTTGAAAGATCAGGAATATTAATTGCTCCAGGCCTCCTCAGTGCTTTGTGGGCAAAATAACTGAGCATTTCCCTGCTCTGTTTAACACTGCAATGATTTCAAATAGATGGAACTGGGCTATAGAACAGAAGGGAACAGAGAGATCAGGGCAGGGTAATGCTCAGTTCATTCTCTCTCTCTCTCCACTAACTCGCCATGGGCTACTTACCCTTGTTGCATTGTATTGATAAGGTAGGAAAATAGTAAAATACTTTAAGACTTGGGGAAATGTAGGGCTGCATGGAGATCAAGCAGATTACAGCAGTATGATGGCAGAAGAGGACAGTGTGTAAGGTGGGCAATGTTTTGAGGTCAAACAGTGAACATACAGTGAATTTACACACAGTGCACAGTGTGGCAAAAATGATGATAGAGAGTAGCTTGGGAAATAGGTTTCCCGTAGCAGTTTAGGCACCCAGGACCAAAAATAGGTTCACAATCACTGTTGGGCGTCCATCACCACCTTCCCTGGAGATGGAAGCTCCTGCAAATACCTTCCGTTTGACCCATTGAGCTTAGCCCACAAGCCACAACTGTCCAACTGCGGTCTACCAGAAACTGCTAGACTACATTTCCCACCATCTAACAGAATCTTTGATTTTGTTACAACCGAATCTTTGTGAAGTTGTTACAACTGAATTCTATAACAGAAGCATTAGCACTACATATTTTCAATGTATGGGAACTGCAATAAGAAAACAACACAGTATGCAAGTTTCTACATGAACGGCCAAGAAAAAAACCCTGACAACATCTGTTCACTGCCTTGTTCACCATAATTCCATTATTAGCATCTTTATATCTTTAAATGTTAAGGATTATATTTTGAGGCACTATATAGGAAGAATGAGAAAAGGCTTTACACTTAAACTTACCAAAATCAAACAAAAAAAAAAAAAAAAAAACCTCACTGTCGGAGGAAGCTTCCCACACAGTTTCCTCTCCCTCCTACACTAAACCAGTTCTGCTAGGTCCGCTGAATGTACACTGACATGAAAGGCATGCTCAGTCATTTAAAAGGATGGGTTTCATCGAAAAAGGCATTTGCAGTAAGAAGCATTAAGCACACACTTAAACACAGGGACATCCACTAAGACTTCATACTAGAAAACTGATGAGAGGAGATACAATTATACAGCACCAACGTATTCCACAGTGCTAAACGATAGATCAAACAACACAATAATTAATTCTAACAAAACATGTTTGAGATACAGGTTAAGAATACCCTGTCCACATAAGCTTACAATCTTTTTGGGTTGTTTCTGACAATCTTTATTTTGTGTCATTATATAATATTAGGACAGTAAAATTGAGGGTGGTCTTTTCTTTTCTTTCCCTTTCTCATATTTTTAGTTTCATGTACAATCAACACAATCTCCCACAAGAACATATTTTTGGGTGTAGCTTAATACTCTTGTACCTTGTCCTATATCCAACCCTCATTTGTCATCATATATCTCTGCTATGTTTTAAACTGCTTTTCTCACTTTGTCAAAGGTATTTCTTCATACTGTAATTTAAGGAAAAATAAAAAAGGGGGTGGAAGGGGGTAAGTGGAGGTGGAAGGAAAGAGTGAGTGTGAGGTAAGAATCGGTAGAGTGTCTGGAACTCCATGCCATAAAGTCTATCCTTGGCTAACTCCTATGCAAGTTGTTGATAGTCTAGTACCATTATAAATATAGTCTAGCCATGAGAGCCACAGCCTGGAATGTTTTCTGATTGGCCTCGTAGGGAAGCTCTCGTGGCTTCTGGTGTCTCAATATCAGATACTCTGTCTAACATTTTGTGTGTGGGCATTTCTGTTGACTTCGAATATAATGGAACAAGTGATTTGGCGGCATTCAATAAAAATCTAAGTATAGATTTTTTTTGTATCTAGAGAGAGAAGCAGCATAGCCCCATGAAAGAGGATACTCTTGGTCAAAAAGGGTGATGCTGTCCCCCTACCCTCCCTGAATCTCAGTCATTTGGATGTCCCTCCAAAAAGGCTCTATAATCGGACAAGACCACCATATGTGCAGGAGCATGTCCTTTTAACCACACTCACATTCAAACTAATCTGCCCTTCGCGTTCATTCAAACAAAATTGTAACAATTACATTGTTATTAGTAAAGTGAGAATTGTTGACAATCAAAATAAATTTTACATTTAAGGCCAAAATAACTGATCTGGAAGCATAGCAGATTGGAGAATTTCCCAGTTTGGCTACTTTGGCTGAAATTTGAAATTCACTTTGAATCACAGCAAGTCTTACTGATGTAAATAACCCTGATAGGCAATCCTTGGCACTCCAGATGTTATGGACTCCATCGCTCATGAGGACTTGCCGGCATTATGGCTGGAAGAGCATTAAGTAGTCCACATCGGGAGTGCTGAAAGTTGCTTACCCCTGGGCTAAAGCATCCAAGCTGTGACTATAATCGAGTAAGAGTGATGGAGAATTTTTCTAAAAACATAATTTTTTGCCAAATTTGGCCTTTCAGATTTCAGTTCACAACAACTCGGAGTACAATGAATAAACCATCTTGTTTATTTCATGCACATCCATCTCTTAACATGGCAAAACAGCTGATAAGCTAGAGTTAGTGGCTTAGAGTTTATACATTTAAAATGTGAATTTAGAGTCCCTTTTCCTTGCAATCTGATTTGGTTAAATGTGTAAACTATTATAATTTTAACTGTATATTCTCTTTGTAAAATGTACGTCTTAAAATTAAAAAGGACAATATAGGCATCCAGGCCACCTCGTCTCATTGAAGTGGTCTGGGTGGACAGTATATGCATTCAGGTCACCTCATCTCATTGAAGTGGTCTGGATGAAATGTCCCTACTGCAGTTTCAGAGAAATTGCTATGTTTACATTACAGGGTTAAGATTGCCTGTAGTGGCTGTCTAGCTTCCTGGCTTTTTAATGAGTTTAACCCCATGAAATGACGTCGAACATCCTCACGATTTGCATGAAGATGTCCGGCATCTTCAAAGTCCCCAGAGAAAATCATTGATTCAATTGATACCTATAGTGTCCTTATAATTTTTGTAGGTCAGGGAGGCACACATCTCACTTCACAAGAAACATATCAACTTTGCATTATTGCAAAGTTTATGGTGCAGAGAGAACACCTCAGTTCCTAGAGAGGCTTATAAATACAATGATTTGTGAAAATTGTTGCAGTTATAACACCCCTCCTAGAGCTGTCAAATAGGCAGCCAAAACTCTCAGTACACTGCTGGCTGTGTCAGTTGTCTATATCATACGTGCAGAGACCAAACCTCTGCCAATTGTCCCCCGCAGTCTGCAGCACTACATGTGCTGTGTGTAAATTGGTATCAGTATTAGTGTAGCTGCAGTCTGATTATAAACCAGTTCCACTTATGCTGTGTAATGAATGGAACTGCTTATCTAGGATAACAAAAATTATCCCATATTGTCCTAGTGAACAGAGTTTTATGGGATAAAAAGAAAGAGATGATTCTGAGTGGTGGAGCCTCTTCCTGGCAAGGAACAATCTACCTGCTACTGACACTAGCAGTATAATTAGGAAATTTAAAAGGCAAATATTCCAAGCACCATAACCACTACATTCTGCTGTAACGATTATGATGTCAGGAATATCCTGGTACCCTCCAAGTGAAATCTGCCAAACTATTTTAGAACAGTTTGACAACTTACTTGGGTCCCACTGTGTACCTGCAGCCCTGCTTCCAGATTCTTCATAAAGATCCAGTAGGCCCAGCAGGCTGTAAAGGTTATGGTGCTTTTATTTTTAATAGCGATGGCACATAAACAGAACAACTGAGCATGGTATTAATACACCGTGTATAATAAATAATAAAAAATAAGTATTATGATTCCTACAATAGGGAAGTCCAGGATAGTGATGTGAGCAGTGATGTTAAAAGTAAACTTGGAGTAAGGGTCATCACCATGTGGGGGAGAAGGAAGGTTAACCAACATCCAAATAATGTTAAAGAATATTATGCTGGTATAGGGGAATGGCCCCGAACCCCTTCACTACCAAGAATATTTTAAATAAAAAAAATATCTAGAATAGCATAGCTTGCAAGTTGTGAATAAACATCATATCATTGCAAATCTGTGTACAAATTGCATTGCAGACAAACGTAAAATTATGTAGTGGCACTGGCTATGGTGTTAGGAGCATACTGGCCATATTTCGAGGTAAAGTAGCAAACCGTTTTGTAAAGGATTGCCCTCTTACTTGGGTCCACGCCAGGTGCAGAGGGTCCTCTATGGCTGGTGATGTGCATCCGGCAGCGCTGCATAAGCCAGATGCCAATCTCGCCAACCATTCACTGGCTGAGAGAATCAACTGACAGCTCTCAGCCAATGAATGCAGCTCTGTGCATGAAAAATACACAAAAAAAATGACATTAGATTCTCATCCAGGGCTCGCTATGAAGCTCCACAAACGCTGCCAGCGGCAGAGATACACCTTTGGCAGCAAATCACTAAAGTGCTCATTGTGCTTGGAGTAGCCCTTTAAGGAGCTCCAGAAGGTACCATTCATTTTTATTTTTACCATACCTCTTCAGACATCTGTCCCATCTGGTTTGTGGAGTCGGATTCTGTGCCAGCTTCTATGGCCATATGAAGCAGTCCCTGAAGATTTTGCCGATGCGGCCTTCCCTCATTCCCTCCATCAGCCATGGCAAATCCTTATCTACTCAAAATAAATAGATAAAGAAAAAAAAAAAAAAGCTGCTATTGACTATTATTACTCCAAGTTACAATATGTTGGCATTTCATATTTATTTTCAGCATCATTTGTTAACCAGCATTTACATACAAAAAAGTGACTTTAAGTCCTAATTTGCTCTTTTTTGCTACAAGATACAAAAATGTCTCCATTAAAGTGTTTTAGCATTTACATTTGGATACATGTACTAAACAGTAAACTCTTCGAATTTGAAAACTAAAAATTGCAGAATGTAAGCAAAAGTTGTCAAATAGTGACAAAAAAAAAAAAAAGATATTCACTCAAGTTTTATCAAATATTTTGCAATTTCCTTCTCTATTCACGTTTTAGTATTTATCAAAAGCTGTCACACTGAGAAACCCCTCAGTGAAGAAGAGAGTGGAAATGAATATTCTTCATGTTGGCCTTAAGTTAAATTCGTTTTACTACAATAAGATAACAGATGAAGATTTTCTATTTGGATATCTAGGGCTCCATTCTACTACAAATACCGGCATGCCCTGCTTTTAGCGCTACTTCCGGGTCACAGCATGGCTTTAGATTTACTGTTATAATAGACAAGGCTGGGGAGATCTGACACAAATCTATGCAGATGTTTTTGTTTTTTTTATTAACTGGGCAGTGAGGCTATACTGCAATAAACATGAACTCGGTATTTATAAAATAATTAACAGATGATAATGATTACCAAACAAGGGGTTTCAAAGTACATACATACAGCTGCCATGCTGGAATTTAGAACATAATCCAATGTTACAAATGAATCACTGGAAACAAGAATCCCACCCAAAATATTATATCATATATACAAGCATATAAATACATAGTAATAAAATAAACCAACACATAGTTCTGCTGTGCCCTGTTATTAAATCAATGATTGGAACGTTAAGGATGTTCTTTAGAATACCTTTGGCTTTCTTGATAAATGATTTTGATCAGATACTCCTTGGATCCTGCCTTCTGCTGTAGGAACCCAGATGCTCTGTCAGCCTTTCTTATTCTCAGACAGCAAGCAAGCTCTGTATACTGTATATAAAGTGCCTGATTATTTCCAGTCACTTCCAGAATCTTCTTCCTCCTTCCGTTTGTTTCTAGATTAACGCTGTTTTGTAAATACTGCGCCATCTGCTGGACCCTTTGCTGGCTTTATGGTTGCCTTTACTTGTAATGGCTTCTTTGTGTAAAGCAAGTTAGGGAATAAACTCTGAAACAAGTGAATACTTTACAACTAAATAGATTTGAAGTGATAATTAAATTTTGCAAATTAATACTATAACAATAATTTAATGTTACTTAGTTAATAAAGCATTTTAAGGCCACTTTCATCGCTTCACATTTCTTTTCATGTTTAGCATGTAAATAAACATCATATCTTCATTTAAAAAAAATAGGAATAATGAGAGTTGTGTATAAAAAGTCTGCTTCAGGTGGAAAGTTCTTAAGGTGGAACAGTTACCGTGGAAACCGGCAGGGCCATTCCATTGGTGACACTGTCTCTTCCTCATGTTTGCACCACTTTTCAGAACATGAAGCCATAACCCCAACAGTCAGGGCCGGCCTTAGGGGTGTGCGAGCTGTGCGACCGCACAGGGCGCCATGGAACAGGGGGCGCCCTGTGGCCGACACAGCTCACTCATGGCCGGAGTGCAGGGGAGCTAAAAGAGGTACCTGGCTGGAGGATTAATTATTCTCCACCCGGGTCTATTTAAAAAAAAAAAAAAAAATCGCGGCAGAGGGGGCGGGGTTTACCGAGCGGCGGAGGCGGGGCTTATCGAGAGGCGGAGACGGGGCTAATACCTCCCGAAGCCCCTGCTGTACAGGAAGAGGGAAAGATGCTTCCCCATCAGCCAACTGCATCCACTGGAAAGAGGTAAGTGTGTGTGTGTGACTGTTTGCCTGTTTGTGTGACTGTCTGTCTGTGTGTGTGTGTGACTGTCTGTCTGTGTGACTGCCTGCCTGTGTGCGTGTGACTGTCTGTGTGTGTGTGTGTGTGTCTGTGTGACTGCCTGTCCTGTGTGTGTGTGTGTGTGACTGTCTGTCTCTGTGTGTGACTGTCTCTGTGTGTGACTGCCTGCCTGTGTGTGACTGTCTGTGTGTGTGACTGTCTGTCTGTGTGTGTGACTGCCTGTGTGTGTCTGTCTGTAACTATCTGTCTGTGTGTGACTGCCTGCCTGTGTGTGTGACTTTCTATCTGTGTGACTGCCTGCCTGTGTGTGTATAACTGTCTATCTGTGTGTTACTGTGTGTCTGTCTGTGTGTGTGACTGCCTATGTGACTGTCTGTCTGTGTGTGTCGCTGTAGCTGTGCCATTGTTTGTGCCTGTGCCTGTATGTGTGACTGCCTTTAACTGAGTGTGTGTGTACATGCCTGTAACCGAGTTTAAATTTCCCCCACCCCTTCCTGTCAAGGCCGCACTTTGACTGACAGACGCTCACTCACTGACAGACGCACACTCACTGACAGACACACACTCTCATATACACTGACAAACAATGACATACACACATACACTATTACTTGGACACACACTGACAGATGCACACTCTCACTGACAGACGCAAGCACTCACTGAAAGATGCACGACTCCACTGACCGACACATACACACTGACTGACACACACTCTGACTGACACACACTCACTGACCGACACACACTCACTGACGACACATACACACTCACTGACGACACATACACACTCACTGACTGACACATACACACTCACACTGACACACACTCACTGACTGACACATATACACTCACTGACCAACACACACATTCACTCACAGACACACACACATTCACTTACAGACACACACAATTACACACTTACAGACACACACACACACACACACACACATTCACTTCAAAATAAACACTCACAGACACACACACAGACATTTCCACTAACACTCACAAACTAATATTTTTTACATTTATTTTAAATCCACCCAGCCTCCCTGGGAAAGCTGGAGTGGATTTCTTACCAGCAGTCCAGTGTGGCTGCTGGGCAGGCAGGCAGGGGGCGCACAGGCTGAGTAAGCAGCGCTTAGTGATGCCGGGAGCCGGACTGACGTCATATTCTGGCTCCCGGCTTCATTAAGCGGCGCAGAGGAAGCTGAGCAGGAAGAGCTCAGGTGAGTATGCTCCTTCGCTGCCCGCTGCCAGCCTTGGGGGGGCTCAAAAGTGGCCAGCCGGTCAGCTCTTGAGCCCCCCAGGATGCGAGGCAAGCAAGGGATCTGCCCGGGGGTTTGGAGGGATGCTTTTTTTTGCCGCCCCCTGCAAAGTGGCGCCCAATGCAGATGCCTTGTTTGCCTCGTGATACACACGTCCCCGGTGCCTGTGTGTGTTACTGTATTCAGGCAACTTGGTGGGAGGTGGGGGGGGCGCCGTAAAGACTTTTTGCACAGGGCGCCTAATTGCCTAAGGCCGGCCCTGCCAACAGTATAAAAATAAAAGTTAATATAGGGCTGCCCCCCTCTGCTGTGTCTTCATCAAAAGACAGTCCAGTTTATAATAGCAACATTAATAATAATGAGCTGCTAGATTAATCAGGCAATTGATGGGTTTATAGATGGGAACTGCTATTAATTAATTTTTTCTGCAGCATCTGAATCTACGCATTTTTGTGGCGTGTTCGTGTTTGTTCCTGCTATAACATAACTTGACAAAATACTGGATCTATTACAGAAACAAGAATCCAGACTCAATCATGTATGGAAACAAAAATGACTTTATTCGTAAAAGTATCAGGCCTGGTGTGAGCAGTTAAAACAGCATAATCTCTGTATCTGTCATAGTTAATAAGTGGTCCTGGGACTTCAGTTTGCTTCAATTAATTACTTGATTTATTTATGAGCTATTTGTGTGCTGGCTGCAAAGTTTGAGAGTTCTGTACTTTGACAAAGCCTTTTTGAAGGAGAAACACGTTAGTGTTTTTGCTAATTATAATGTTTTAACAGTTTTTCTATTTTAGATAATAAAAAAGTAGCTTCATTTTATAACTTCGCCGGACCTACCCTGTTTTCTTACCTTGGAGCTGGACCACTTATTCCTTTGGTGGGGAACATACCACCTGGGCACTGTGGACTAAGCAAAACTGATATTTTGCTCCATGGCAGTGAGTACCTCTCCAATATTTTATTACATGTTTTATTACTAACAGAGAGCACTATATTTTTATTTCTTGTTTTTATCTGCATATGTTTAATACTGGATTGCCTATAAATGAACAAACTCTGTAAGTGAGGATTATACAACTTACAGCTGCTTTCTGGGAACCACTCGGAGGCTCCATAATTTGTGAGTGCTTCTCCACTTATATATTTTACTGTATCCCTATTCTCTGATATACTGCACTAGAATGGGATTTATCTTTGTGTTTATTTTTCATAATCTTTAGTCAGTAAAGTTTAGTGCACTTGGTACTGGACTGCAAGAAGACAAAGAATATCCAAGGTAGGGATTGTACCGCCCAAGCGGAAAAAATAGAGCTATTTCAAGCTCTATACACTGTAAGTGCATTTCTTTTATTTTTCTAATCTATGTATACTAAAGTTACTACACTATATTTGGCACTTCTCTTTTCTTGCATATTCTTCACCATTTTGAGAGTCTGGTTTGGGTTGTCTAAACTGCCTACACCATCCAAAAATACAGGCTAGAAAGCTGCCATTTTTACATCTATAAAAAGCAGGTGAATGTATTATGCAAACACACCTTTTACTTGAATAAATTGCAGCAGTAATGTTTTGGCACCTGATAAAAATGTGAATCATATATAATTGATGAATTTCTACCAGACATAATTGTTCTGAAGAGAATGGGAACTTTTGTAGAAAGTTACCATGTTAACCTTGGATTTACCTTTATTAACTATCCAAGCAGTAAATCTAGGGTAAATCCTGTGATTTTCAACAGATATTGCAAATCCAGATGTACAGGGGATACTCGAAAAATTAGAATACAGGGAGTGCAGAATTATTAGGCAAGTTGTATTTTTGAGGATTAATTTTATTATTGAACAACAACCATGTTCTCAATGAACCCAAAAAACTCATTAATATCAAAGCTGAATGTTTTTGGAAGTAGTTTTTAGTTTGTTTTTAGTTTTAGCTATGTTAGGGGGATATCTGTGTGTGCAGGTGACTATTACTGTGCATAATTATTAGGCAACTTAACAAAAAACAAATATATACCCATTTCAATTATTTATTATTACCAGTGAAACCAATATAACATCTCAACATTCACAAATATACATTTCTGACATTCAAAAACAAAACAAAAACAAATCAGTGACCAATATATCCACCTTTCTTTGCAAGGACACTCAAAAGCCTGCCATCCATGGATTCTGTCAGTGTTTTGATCTGTTCACCATCAACATTGCGTGCAGCAGCAACCACAGCCTCCCAGACACTGTTCAGAGAGGTGTACTGTTTTCCCTCCTTGTAAATCTCACATTTGATAATGGACCACAGGTTCTCAATGGGGTTCAGATCAGGTGAACAAGGAGGCCATGTCATTAGATTTTCTTCTTTTATACCCTTTCTTGCCAGCCACGCTGTGGAGTACTTGGACGCGTGTGATGGAGCATTGTCCTGCATGAAAATCATGTTTTTCTTGAAGGATGCAGACTTCTTCCTGTACCACTGCTTGAAGAAGGTGTCTTCCAGGAACTGGCAGTAGGACTGGGAGTTGAGCTTGACTCCATCCTCAACCCGAAAAGGCCCCACAAGCTCATCTTTGATGATACCAGCCCAAACCAGTACTCCACCTCCACCTTGCTGGCGTCTGAGTCGGACTGGAGCTCTCTGCCCTTTACCAATCCAGCCACGGGCCCATCCATCTGGCCCATCAAGACTCACTCTCATTTCATCAGTCCATAAAACCTTAGAAAAATCAGTCTTGAGATATTTCTTGGCCCAGTCTTGACGTTTCAGCTTGTGTGTCTTGTTCAGTGGTGGTCGTCTTTCAGCCTTTCTTACCTTGGCCATGTCTCTGAGTATTGCACACCTTGTGCTTTTGGGCACTCCAGTGATGTTGCAGCTCTGAAATATGGCCAAACTGGTGGCAAGTGGCATCGTGGCAGCTGCACGCTTGACTTTTCTCAGTTCATGGGCAGTTATTTTGCGCCTTGGTTTTTCCACACGCTTCTTGCGACCCTGTTGACTATTTTGAATGAAACGCTTGATTGTTCGATGATCACGCTTCAGAAGCTTTGCAATTTTAAGAGTGCTGCATCCCTCTGCAAGATATCTCACTATTTTTGACTTTTCTGAGCCTGTCAAGTCCTTCTTTTGACCCATTTTGCCAAAGGAAAGGAAGTTGCCTAATAATTATGCACACCTGATATAGGGTGTTGATGTCATTAGACCACACCCCTTCTCATTACAGAGATGCACATCACCTAATATGCTTAATTGGTAGTAGGCTTTCGAGCCTATACAGCTTGGAGTAAGACAACATGCATAAAGAGGATGATGTGGTCAAAATACTCATTTGCCTAATAATTCTGCACTCCCTGTATAGTGCAAAAGTTTATTTATTTCAGTAATGCAACGTAAAAGGAGAAACTAATATATGAGATAGACGCATTACATGCAAAGCAAGATAGTTCAAGCCATGATTTGTCATAAGTGCGATGATTATGGTTTACAGCTCATGAAAACCCAAAATCCACAATCTCAGTAAATTAAATATTACATGCAATCAATAAAACAAGGAGTGTACATAGAACAATATCAGACCTCTGAAAAGTATAAGCATGCATATGGACTCAGTTCTTGGTTGGGGCCCCTTTTGCAGCAATTACTGCCGAGGTGTTATGGAAGACCAGGATGCTTCACTAGCGGCCTTCAGCTCTTCTGCATTGTTCGGTCTCATGTCTCTCATCTTTCTCTAGGCAATGCCCGATAGATTCTCTATGGGGTTCAGGTCAGGCAAGTTTTCTGGCCAATCAAGCACAGTAATCCTATGGTCATTGAACCAGGCTTTGGTGCTTTTGGCAGTGTGGGCAGGTGCCAAGTCCTGCTGAAAAATGCAGCATCCCCATAAAGCTCATCTGCGGAAGGAAGCATGAAGTGCTCCAATATCTCCTGGTAAACGGCTGCGTTGACCGTGGACTTAATGAAGCACAGTGGACCAACAACAGCAGATGACATGGCTCCCCAAATCAACACAGACTGTGGAAACTTCAGACTGGACTTCAAGCATCTTTCAGTGTGTGCCTCTCCATTCTTCCTCCAGACTCTGGGTCCTTGGTTTCCAAATGAGATGCAAAAGTTGCTCTCATCAGAAAAGAGGACCTTGGACCACTGAGCATCAGACCAGGTCTGTTTTTCTTTAGCCCAGGTAAGACGCTTGTTTGTTGTTCGGGAGTGGCTGGACAAGAGGAGTACGACATCTGATGCCCATATCCAGGATCCGTCTGTGTGTGGTGGCTCTTGATGCACTGACTCCAGCCTCAGTCCACTCCTAGTGAAAGTCCCCAACACATTTGAATGGCCTTTCCCTGACAATCCTCTCCAGGCTGAGGTCATCCCTGCTGCTTGTGCACCCTTTTCTTCCACACTTTTCCCTTCCACATAACTTTCTATTAATGTGCTTTGATATAGCACTTTGGGAATATCCAACTGCCTTTGCAATTACCTTTTAAGGCTTTCCCTCCTTATGAAGGTTGTCAATGATGGTTTTCTGCACAACTGTCAGGTCAGCAGTCTTCCCCATGATTGTGATTCCTAGTAAACCAGACTGAGAGTCCATTTAAAGGCTCAGAAACCCTTTCAGGTGTTATGGCTTACTTAGCTTACTAGAGTGGGACACTGTGAGCCTAGAATATTGCACCTTTCCTCAATATTCTAATTTACTGAGATTGTGGATTTTGGGTTTTCATGAGCTGTAAGCCATAATCATCGCTCTTATGACAAATCACTGCTTGAACTACCTTGCTTTGCATGTAATGTGTCTATCTCATATATTAGTTTCCCCTTTTACGTTGCATTACTGAAATAAATTAACTTTTGCACGATATACTAATTTTTTGAGTATCACCTTTATAACCCTGAAATCTCTTTTGATCCTTTTTTTAACTGACAGTGTAAACAAAATCTGATATAAGTTACAGAATAATGGAATAGGGGACAAGATCAGAATATGTATTTATTTTACTTGTAAGATGTAAAAATGGTGAAAAATGTAAAGGTTGGGGTATGGACTGCTGGGCACAAGGGGGTCACTATTTAGTCCTGATCACCTGGATGATGGAGGGAGACCAGGTGTGAACTTACTCCTTTATTAAAGGAACAATCTAAACACTACATGCCGATGCAATGGTTACTTTGTCAAACTGTATTCAAGCATTTGACAAAGTCAGGGGTCATCAAGGCACCTGCCCTCTCTCACTGGAATTGCTAATGCGGATGTTCCAGGATTCAGGAGTGGGAAAGTTAGGCAAGTGATTGCTTCAAAAATTTCAATATACAGTGCATGAATAAAAAATAAATTAAAGGACTATATAAATGTTAGGAATACAAATATGTATTCCTAGTCCTATAGGCCCTGATGAAAGTTTAGGTTCCTGGCCCCCACTTTGTGAAAGAAAAAGGCCATTTTATTTACCTTTTCTCCCTCGCAATGCCATTTTCCTTGCTGCCATCCAGCCTCCTTGGCTGAGATTATCGCGATCGAAAATCATTGAGAGGCTAGTGTGCATGCAGAAAATGACACGCTGCGCCAAACATATGGTCTCCGATGTAAAACCCAAGTTTTACTATTTCTGCAGATACGCCTCTAGTGGCTCTCGGTGTGACATCCAGTAGAGGCATTTTAACACTGCAACTAAAGCTTTCACCTCCATCATGCCTCCTACCGTGGTGCAGAATGGGTTTAAAAACCCTTCTGTCACTTACCTCAGACAAGTGCCAATGTCCCTTGGCGATGACTCGGGTCCGCCTTCGCTCCTTCCCACCTACGTCAGTCAGCGGGGGAGACCTAATGCGCATGCGCGGCATTGGCCACGCTCCTATTAGGATTTCCTAATAAGGGTTAAGGGACCCGGGACACTGAACACAGACCAATTAAATAAGCTGAAGTGGTCTCGGTGCCTATAGCATTACTTTATATTTGTAAAATTTCTGATCCTGAACTACTAGTGATGCCTAAAATTACAGTTGCAAGAAAAAGTATGTGAACCCTTTGGAATGATATGGATTTCTGCACAAATTGGTCATAAACTGTGATCTGATCATCATCTAAGTCATAACAATAGATAATCACAGTCTGCTTAAAGTAATAACACATAAAGAATGAAATGTTGCCTTAGATGATGATCAGATCACATTTTATGACCAATTTGTGCAGAAATCCATATCATTCCAAAGGGTTCACATACTTTTTCTTGCAACTGTATATAGAGTATATAGACACAAAAGCTCTGTCGACTGATCCTAATGAGAATCTCACCAGCCCAAGGCTTGAATGATCTATTCTAGTTATATGTGCTTGTGTAATTTAAGGGTGATATTTAAGGGTGATACTATAAGAAATCCTAATCTTCATGTGCAACTGGAGGTCAATTAAAGTCTCCAGGATGGGGTTTGTCAGGAATATCCAGGAACACTGACCCCATCTGGATTAGCCAGCATGCCTTCCTGGTGTGACCCATCCTTCTCCTTGGTCCATATCATCATCTTGAATATTGGCTGTGATAAGATTTAAATAGGGACCTGTAGAGGGAATCCACAGAGGGCTTGTGTGATTAATTTAATAGGTCTTATAACAGTTATACAGCTTGTTTTATTTTGTGAACCGCCTCTTAATTATTGCTTCCTTTAGGACAAGCAAAAATCTCTGTATTATACAAATATGAAGTCAATTCAAATTAAATTAAGTTCTTAATAATTTTTTACACTTTGCCTTGAGTTCTGTCTAATTCTGCTTTCAGTCAATATATCAAGGATACAGCTCAGGCACAAAGATCAGATAATGGTACATAGAAGAAGAAAAACTTTGGTTAATTTGTGGATCATATGGAATTATACATTTTGAGGTTAGATACCATCAAGATGTCTTTGTGATATACATTACTTCTGTGTGGGTCCTACAGCAATCCCACTTTATCTATATCCCTTAGATTTGTCCACAGTTAAAAAATTGGGTTTTGCATAATTGATTCGTCTAAAAAAAATAATAATAATTGTTACAGTCAATTCAGGGTTAGTTCATGTGGCATTTTTACCTGGAAGAATTATACCCATGCAACTGTTTTTTGGGGGAAATGTTTCAGATAAACCAAAAGGGGCACAGAAATAGACCAATCGGTATACTACGAAACCTATTAGTTACAAAGAAAAACTAGTAACAAGCATCTCAGAGGTGATATGATAGCTTTATAGAAATATATAAAGGTTCAGTACAAACCACTATGTGCTAACCTGTTCTTTAGTGGGAATACACAACAGAAAAAGTGGTCATCCACTGAGATAGTGAGAAAGCATTTTCGCTTACAGCAGAGGAAAAGATTATTTACAATAAGAACAATAAGGATGTGGAATTCTCTGTCCAAAGAGGTATTACCAGGTTCTGTAGATATTGTTTCCAATAAAGTTATTGGTTATTTATTTGTATCTTTTGTATTTTTTTGTTGTTGCAAAAACAGAAATTTAGCAAATTGTTTAAGGATAGAATTAAAAGAACACTATAGACACCCAATACTCCATGAATTCACCTTATGGATTACACCTGATTCTTAATCTAGCCCCTATCAGAGCACTGGATTTAGGAAAATTTGTGGACACACTGGTTTTAGTTTGGTACATAAGGTACCTGAGACCATTAGTTAGTGAGACTCCCCTGACAAAAGCAGTAGTTGAAACGTTGAGGAATTCTGGTCTCCAGCCCTAGGTCAGTATAATTGGTCATATACTTGAATATAACCTTGGTGCACTTTATTAATATGGTGATACTTGACTATAACATTGGTGCACTTTATTAATATGGTGATACTTGAATATAACCTTGGTGCACTTTATTAATATGGTGATACTTGAATATAACCTTGGTGCACTTTATTAATATGGTGAGGTGTACTTACTGAGTATACGTTTGCAATGTACTTCCGCTTTGCAATTTATGTTGTATATTGATTCAATGTGATATATTGTATTTTTTGTGCTGTGGGTCTTTTATTTTGTAGTATGTGATCTTGATAAGGTAACAAGATTTAATTTCCCACCTGGTAGCATACGGTCTCGGATAGTGCATGTTTACACTGGGTTACTTCTTTTTTTATTCAAGATGTTTAGGATTTTAAAATTGAAAAATAAACAATGGAAAAACATACATCCAGCACAAAACAGGTATAAAATGTTAACAAGATATCAGGACAGTTTAGTAACGGTACCATAACCACAAAATAATGCAGAATCATGACGTGTCCATGAAACCTCACCAACATAGTTGACTTACGGTGCGGTGGTCCAACTATCTTGCTGATATATCACACTTTCCTAGAAATGTTTTTGCCATCTGACTTACAAAATTCACTTCGGTTGGGGAGATGCTTGAGTTACATCATTGGAGGGATTTATTTGTAGGGACTCTCTTGAACATACCCCAATATCTGGGAAATACTCAAACTTTTTCTTCTGCTATAGCTCACCATGTGAAACTCATTTTATCAGACATATATATATGTCTTCCCTGGGGATGCTCATATTATTAAACTGACAGACTATAACTCAGATCTCGTAACTGCTCATGCTATTTCACTGATATATTTCACTACTCTAGAAGAGTTCAAGTTATCAGCTGGATATATTTAACTTCCCTTAAGGTATACAAACTATTATACATTATTTATAAATAACATTACAGAAGTTATGTATGTAGCAAAAGTAGGACATAAAATGATCACATGATAATCTTGTTCTCCATATCGAAGATTCCGAGCAAAGATTCATAGAAAATATGCTAAAACATGATCCGACTGGCTAACTTTAGACTAATTACAATTTTTTTAATTTTTCAGAAACGTGTATTTTGTTTGTATTTTGCCAGCCTTAAATTTTGTACATAATGTGTATTGTTTTTGTAATATTAATAATTGCATTTATTTGGGTGCATGCGATTCTTATTCTTTCTATTCACCTTAAAACCTTCTTAGATCAAGAAAATCATACAAATCTTTTAGAGGCTCATGTTTTAATCAATCTGCTCCAGAACTAGCGGCATTGCTCTAGAGCTGACATCACTGCAAATGACAATATGTAGGAGCCAATGCATTATTTATGGCTAAAGAGGATACAGCTAATACATCACATCAGTCAATGTCCAAAAAGAAACAGATCATTATGTAGTATACTTGTAAACAAGATAATTTACTCCACTCCCACATTCACACAGTTTTTGTTTAACAACACCAGATGCACATTGGATTGAAAGAAGGAATATATAACCCTCTTTTTAGAGGTGACGGCCTTTAATAATTTCTTGTAGACCATAGATAAACCAAGGGGAAAAAAACACGCTAGCCTTGTGTCAACACAGGCCACATTAACATACAGTGAAGGATTTGAAATCCATCATCAAAATAATCCATATTTTAATATAGCATATTTTTTCCTGAGGGGGCTCAAAACAGATTTAAAGAAATTGGCAGATGATTAATACATTTGACTATTACCCTTTGTAATTAGATTTCATTGTAATAGCCGTGTTAGGTAGTAAGATTGATTTGACTGCAGAGAATAGATTCTGTAATCAATCCTAGTATGAACATGTGCCTTAGCTGGTGAATTAACCAAGTGAACTATCTCTCCTATGACTGAGATCTGTACATCCGCACTCTACACTCTTCATATTTGATTATACTAGGATAACAGAATAATTCTTAAAGCATCATTGTCACCCCCACTCCCCTTTCCCTTTCCCCGCAAAAATAATAGAATCTTTATGAAACAGTTGTTTTGATTGTGTTGGAATTTCAGTGAAATACCACCAAAGGCAATAGATATACAGAGACACATCTCGTGGGATCCTCTATAGACCTCAATGCTGTACGAGATTACAGCAGTGACGATAGAGATCACTAACAAAGAGGACCTTCCGAGTCAAGATAGCAGCATTATCGTGGGACCGGTTCAGGTAAGTAAACTCACCTTTACCTGCCCCGCCCCAACCACCGAACACCCAGCAGCGATGTCACTGTCGCAGTCCCGAGACGGTGACAGTGCCGCTTTAAGAAGCAAATGTGCAATACAGTTATCAACAGATTGATTTAACACAGATCAATGCTTTACTGTGGACATCACAGCCAATTTAGCACAAAATGCTATTTACAAACTTGTGTAACTCTGGAAACGACATAAATTGTGACATTAGTATATATTTACTTGATAACACTGCATTTTGCTGTTTCCGCTATATGTTTCTAACTATATTTTACCAACTTAGGCCAGTTTTATCCCTACCCAGTGCAAAATCTGCTCTCATGCTGGGATAGTAGATATGAGTAACACTTCAAAGTCCATTTGCATGGTGATAGTAAGCATTACATATTTTTGACTTCAAAAAGCATTTTCTCTTTTTTTTTTTTTTTTTTAAAAGACACATTTTTTTTTTAGAAAACCAGCAAGCAGAATCTGCAGAGAAAAAAATAAATTGAAAATAACCAGTTGTTGGTGTCTGATGTGCAACCTTTACTTTTACTTACCATTAAGTGTTGTGTTTCATATCTGTTCAGATTCTCTTTTAATGGAAACCACTCCAATCGTGCTCTTTTCAGAAAGAAGCTTTTTCAGCTTGATGACAAAAAGAACAGTTGGCTTAGGTTAGGAAATTCAGTACTTCAATGTAAGTCTACTGAGCGTTATTTATTTTAAAATGTATGTGTCAGTCGTCTGTCAAGCAAGAGAGAGAGAGGAAATTATTGTGTGAGAAAGCTATATCAGTGTGTGATAAGGGTCACCTGCAGGGGGTGCTGTACTTTACAGTGCAACAACTTCTTGTACTATCCATGCAGGAATCTCCAAATTCTGGCCCTCCAGGTGTTGTTGAACTACAACTACCATAATTCTCTGGCTGTCTATTTCATTCAAAGCATCATGGGAGTTGTAGTTCGGCAACATCTGGAGGACCAGAGTTCGGAGAATCTTACACTAAAGTAATAATAATGCTGCTCCCATCACAACACTCTTTTATGACATGCAGTCATTAATGTAATAACTCAATACCAAACAATGATGTACACCTCAACTATTTTCTATTTACTACATAAATGTACAACTATCACATAGAGCAGTGGTTCAAAAAGTTTTTGGACCAAAGTACAGAGAAAAATGTCCAGAGCACACGTATTGTTTGTTTTTTTACAGTCATCAGCAGCCCTTAAACATTTAATTACCTTGAAGCTTTACTAAAGAGATAATCACACTTCTATTCAAATTGAATTTTTTTGAGAATCACTATTTCTGTAGATTTTTTCGTTAAAAGGAATTTGGCATAGGAAAACAATTAAAACAGACAGTACAGGAAACCATTTCTGGCCTCATATTTAACTTGGAATTCTGACTTTAGTAAATAAACACTTCAACCGGGCAGGAGGTTTTGGCCTACATTGGTCCTAAATGAGGTTCTGATTGCGATACATGAAACCAAGAATGGAAATGAAAGCAGAATAGAGATTAAGAAGATAAGAAAGATATATATGTATAGTTTACAAAAAAATGCAGGAAAAGGAACAGTGGTTCAAAATCTCAAGACAAAGAATGTGTCCTAGCTCTACTACATATGTATCTAGTATATAGAACACAACTACGATCCTTACTAAAGTAATGACCTATTTACCGAAACAAGATTCCAACAAAGGTTTGGCACCATGACCTCCCCTTCATTGATATCTTCCATCTCCTTCCCATATTCCCAAATATATACTCCATTGAATTTAGAATCCTACAAACAATGTTTGGTGACTTCAAAAATGTTCTAGACTCTTTCCTCCAAGTCACCAAATACTTAGATCAAATACTTAGATTAAACACTTAGTCTCTGCTAATTTTGTAGATATAACACTGAAAGAGTTACTCCGAGCATCATAATCTTCTTTAGGTTATTTCATTTTCTTGCGTTTTTAGGCCCATTCACTGATTATTTCTTGGTCTCACCTGTAGGTTGTGAGTTGGACCAGTGTCGTAGATAAAACGTACATAAAGGGTTACAGTCTTAGCTTTAATAGTCCTTCCACGTCTGCAGGAGTTAAAGATAATTTCTTCTGCTTCAGTCAGCAGTTACTGCAGCTGGTTCTCTTTCTCATGAAATGTTACATTTGCTTTAACCTTACATAGTTTAGATAACAGTTTTAAGTAAGCCGTTGTTTATTTAGTCTTTTTTTTATGCACACATGCGCAGTAGATTAATTGCCATTTTATATATACAATGCTCTCCCATTAAAGATTGAGAAGACGATTTTGGACTACAAACTGAGTAAGGCTGTGGTTTTATTATCAGTTCTCCCGAGCGCTTGAACACCTAATAATTCAGAGCCTCTGGTTATCTCTATCTTTGATGGTTGATCCATCATAAATGTCTATATCACCAGCGCCGCTTGTAGCTGTGGCAGTTTGTTGTACTCTCAGCACTCCTTACAAACAAAAACCTGATCTACAACTTTTCAACTGGATTTTATGATACAATATATTAAAAGATTTAGGGTGTGATCGGTTAAAGGTTTAATTAGCTACAGTTTCCCACCCACTGAAAATATATCACCTTGTGCATCAGTGTAGGCAGCAAAGAAATTCTGTGAGGAACAGCTTTTCATAACAAATATGTACGCCCAAGGGAGCATACGTTAAATGATAGAGTTTTCTATAGGCAAATTAATCACTATAATTGGGGAGGCTATTTGTATAATGAGATATAGACCTTAATACACCACCTGACCTTTCATTTTGTTTATTATGTATATACCGATATGTAATTTCTAAAATATATCTATAAATAAAGGTATTTCCACTTATAATTTTGCATTTTCAAATTGAAATGTAATTGTTTTAAAAGCTAAATTAAAAAGATAACCAACTTATTTAAAACAATATATATTTTTCTAATGTTCCTTAAACATTAAAACATGAGTGGGGGCTGAGGACTTACCCCTTTCACCCCCCCCCCCACTAGATTCTCACATGGCACAAACCTACCTGTCCTTGATCATTCGTGTAGTTTTACTATAATGGTTGCGGAGAATGCTTGGTTATGCTGTAACACTGATTCATTCACTGACATGGTCACAGAGTCAAATAACCTGTGGGCCCCTGTCTGGTACTGGTGCTCTGGTGTAAGGGGTTCTCACTCTGCTGAGGAAGCACTGCAGTATTTAAGAGTGCCGTTGTGGTTCTTCGGTGCTTCTTACTGACTCAGAGGGCAATACCCAGTATTTTGAGTCATGTACTGAGGACATTCCTGGCTGGCTTCCAGAATCGTTCCTCTGGGCCATACCCCTTCCAGTGGATGAGATACTCCAGGTTTCCCCTATGACGTCTGGAGTCAAGGATTTCTTGGACTTCGAATTCCTCAGAACCATCTACAAGCACTGGTGTGGGTGGAGCAACAATACAGGAAGGGAATCTGTTGGGTTTCCAAGGTTTTAGGAGGGATACATGAACATCCGGGTGTAACCGATAAGTGGAAGCTAGGTCTAGTCGGACAGCTACAGGAGACCTCGGTTACAGTGAAAGGCCCTATGTAGCGTGGTCCCAACTTCCGTGAGGGGCAGGACAAATGCATATAGGACTTTCTATTGTCGGCATATCCTTTGTAGCATTGTTGTGCTACTTTCAGGGTATGTTGCAACATTTGTCTTTGTTGTCTGAGTTTGTTCAGGCATGAGGCTACATCAGGCACTGTGTTAGGACACGGAAGCTCAGGAAAGGTACAGGGATGGAAATCATAGCATAAAAAGGTGTAATCTTGATAAAGTGGTACATATGGTTGTTGTAGGAGAATTCTGCTATTGGAGGCAGAGATAGCCAATCATCCTGACGATGCGTGGTGAAACAGCAAAGGTATTGTTCTAAAGTCTGGTTGGTAAGTTCCGTTTGGCCATTGGTCTGGGGATGATAAGCAGAATATAAACAACGTTAAATCCTTTGGTGGTGACAGAAATGGGACCAGAAAAGGGAGGTGAATTGAGAACCTCGGTCAGTGATGATGTTTTGGGGCAGATGGGAGTCCGATGGAGGGAATGAAATGTGCCATCTTCGTGAATCTATCCACTACCACCATGATGGTGTTGTGTTTGTGTGATAAGGGTAGATCCACAGTAAAGTCCATGGCTATGTCGGTCCATGGTCCTAGAGGTACTGCAGGAGGTTGTAGAAGACCTACTGGTTTTACCTTTAGGGTCTTTGATCGGGCACATACATTGCACAAGAGGATGTACTCCCTGATGTCCATTTTGATGGAGTGCCACCAATAATAACGGCTAATGCCTTAGAGTGTCTGGGTAATTCCTCCGTGGTCTGCTGAGAGAGAGTCATGGAACTGGCTCATTTCTTCTGATTGGAATGAGGGTGGTACATATACCTGTTCGTCGTGGTAGCACAATCCTTGTTTCTGGGTCAGTGGAGGAACAGTAACCGGTGGTTGGACCACTGAGTTGTGTATACTGTCTAGGAGTGAGACCAGTATTGCTAGAAATTGGTGTGGGGGTAGAATGGTGTCTTGGGTTTTGTCTATTGGGTCTGTCTTTTCATACATGCCTTTTTATTTTTTGACCCAGGGCGCTAGGTGATCTTTAAGTTGAATCTGGAGAAGAACAAGGCCCAGCGGGCTTGGTGGAGACGTAGTCTTTTGGCAGCACGTATGTACTCTGGATTACAGTGGTCTGTAAATACAGTTATAGGTAAGGGTGCTCCTTCGAGCAGATGGCGCCATTCTTCCAGAGTGCCTTTGACAGCAAGACGTTCCCTCTCGCCCACATCGTAGTTCTCTTCAGTGGCTTCAGTGGGCAGAAGTCTCGGAGAGTAGAATGCCACGGGCAGGGCCGGTGCTAGGATTTTTGACTACACAGGCGAAGATGCATTTTGACGCCCCCCCCCCCAAAAATAAATAAACAATGCATCTTCACCTCTGTGTCTCGTAGCCCCCTTTTGAATTTCTTACCCCCATTAGTGTTGCATATCCACTCTCTTGAATGTCTTACCCCTTTGGCCCCTTTGTGCCTTACACCCCCCTTTAGTGTGTCTCCTACAACCCCTCTTATGTATTTCTTACTTCCCCGCCAGCCCCTATCTATCTCTCTTTTTCTCCCACATAGACATAGATACAGGCTAAAATACATACATGCACAAATACACAAACATACAGACACACAACCATACAAGCACACAGACATAATTTTTCAGGCACACAGTCACAAAGATATACAGACACACAGTCATAAAAGGCACACAAACAAACACAGTCATACAATCTACACATACAGGTACATTGTCGTACAAACACAGACATACATTCATACAGACACAGGCATTCACAGAAATACATACACAGACATAAAGAAACAGAGATAGGCATACAGAGACATACATACACAGACAAACAAAGAACCCTGCACACTGACACCGTGTAAATGCTCCGGCCATCAACAGAGGTGGATGCTCCATGTCAGGCAGACATTGCTGGATCCACCAGTAAAGTCTTCAAAAGGAATAAACGCAGGCAACACTCCAATAGTAAGGATGGTATATTTATTGGTAGGTGAACCACCCCATAGAAAGTGTGATGTTTCAGCTCATGCAATAAGGCTCTGCTGAGCCGAAACGACGCACTTTCTTTGGGGTGGTTCACCTATCAATAAATATACCATCCTTACTATTGGAGTGTTGCCTGCGTTTATTCCTTTTGAATACATTTACACAGTCATACAGAGACATACATACTGTATGTCTCTGTATGACGGTCTGTGTATGTACACAGGATGGCTAAAAGATAGATCCCCATCTGTCGTGCAACTTCAACAATGCTTTGAAAGCTGGGGCTCTACCGATTCCCCATGCTTGCAGGATTGTATTTAGCATGGAGCAGTATTTGTGTGTTTGACTGTAAGCATGTGTTTGTATGGAGTATGTTTGTATGATTGTAGCGGTGTGTTTGTATGTAGTGTTTGCATTTGAATGCAAGCATGCATTTATGTGTAGTGTTGGTTTTTGAACGCAGGTGTGTGTTTATATATAATTTTGGTGTCTGATACAGAGGTGTGTTTGTATGTAGTGTTGACATTTGAATGCAGGGGTGTGTTTGTATGTAGTGTTGACGTTTGCATGTAGGTGTTTATTTGTGTGTAGTGTTGTGTTTGAATGCTGAGATATATGCACATATACACATACACTGCCACACACGCACACACTGTGATACACATACACAAAGATACACACACTGACACATGCAGATATACATATACACAAACTGATACACATTCAGATAGACACACAGGTACACACAAACACTGACAGACATACAGATAAACACACAGTGACATACAGACACACATACACAATGATAGGGAAGAAGACACACAAAGACACACTAACAGACAGACACACACACTAACAGACATTTAGATACACACAGACATATGGACAGAGACATATACATACACACACTGACAGACATGGATGCACACACACACACTGACAGACATAGATACACACACACACACACTGACAGAGATAGATACACACACACACTGACAGACATACACACACACACACTGACAGACATAGATACACACACACACACACTGACAGACATAGATACACACACACACACACTGACAGACATATACACACACACACACTGACAGACATAGATACACACAGACACACTGACAGACATAGATACACACAGACACACTGACAGACATACACACACACACACTGACAGACATAGATACACACAGACACACTGACAGACATACACACACACACACTGACAGACATACACACACACACACACTGACAGACATAGATACACACACACACTGACAGACATATACACACACACACACTGACAGACATAGATACACACAGACACACTGACAGACATACACACACACACACTGACAGACATAGATACACACAGACACACTGACAGACATACACACACACACTGACAGACATAGATACACACAGACACACTGACCAACAGGTTCAGAAGGGGGGCTTACCTGGGATCCAAAGTGCTGCCTAAGGTAGTTGGGAGTTGGAGGAGCTGGTCCTGCCCAGCCCCCCTCCTCTCTACCTTCTGTTGCTCTAGTCTTCTTGGGAGGACTTCCTCCCATGCTGATTAGAAGGGGGCCCGTAGCTCCGCCCCTGCTGGGCACCAGCCGCGCTGTGTGCTTCAGTGGGAGCAGGGATATGACGTTCATATCCCCGCCCCCTCCACACAGTCCGCGGCACTGCAGGCTGGCGCTCGGCCACGCTACAAGAAGTGACCGGCAGGAGAGGGGAGCTGTGCGCTTCTCTCCTGCCGGCCACCCGGACATTTGCGCCCCCGGGCCGGTGCGCCCTAAGGCGGCCGCCTGTGCCGCCTTATGGACGCGCCGGCCCTGGCCACGGGGTGAAGTCGGTCATCCTTTTCTCCTCTTTGGGACAGGATACCCCAATGGCAATATCGGAGGCATCTACTTAAAGGAAGAAAGCCTTTGTGGTATTGGGCTGAATAAGGATAAGAGCTTGGGTAAACAATCTTTTTAGTTTCTCGAAGGCTTCTTGAGCTTATGAACTGGTCATGTTTTTTGATGGGGGAACATACCTGGGAAAAACCTCTGATAAAGCATCTATAAAAATTGGCAAATCCCATGAAACGCTGTACAGATTTCTTGTCTTTAGGTATACGCCATTCCAGGATAGCTGTGATCTTACGAGGATCCATTTGTATCTGCCCAGGGGTAATTATGTATCCTAGGAATTCCATGGACTCTGTATCAAAAACACATTTCTCCAAATCAGCTTATAGTCCGTGCTCACAGAGACGGAGAAGCACCTTCCATACATGCTCGTTGTGTTCAGCAGGAGAAGAGGAGAAGACAAGGATGTCGTCTAGAGATATTACAATGAAAGAATCTAGATTTTTGAGGAAGACATCATTCAGGAAATGTTGGAATGTGGTCGGGGCATTGCAGAGTCTGAAGGGTATGATGAGGTATTCGAAGTGTCTGTACCGTGTCCTGATTGCTGTCTTCCACTCATCTCCTTTACGGGTACGGACCAGGTTATATGCACCACGTAGATCTAATTATTTAAGAATATTCTTGCTTTCCTTAATCTATCTAGGAGCTTGGGTATCAGAGGTAAAGGATATCGGTTCTTGATAGTGATGTTATTTAGGGCACAGTAGTCAACGCATGGGTGCAGTCCTCCATCTTTCTTACCAACAAAAATATACCTGCTCATGCTGGGGATGTGGAGGTCTGATGAATCCTTTGGTTTGGCTGTCAGAGATATACTCCTTGAGGTGTTTGAGTTCAGCTTCTGAGAGAGGGAATATGTGTCCATAGGGAATAGGAGCACCTGGGAGCAAGTCGATTGGACAGTCATATGGACGTCTCGGGGGTAATTGATCCGCATTCTTTTTTTTGAAGACATCTTGGAATTCCTTGCATTTGTCTGGCAAGGTGACTGGAGGGTCGGGGGTCATTGTGAGCAGATGCATGGGTGTCTCATTTAAGCAAGTATTGGTGCAAAAGGTGGATGAGAATGTGAGTGTGCCTTTGCTCCAGTCTATCACCGGATTGTGGGTGCGGAGCCAGGGAAGACTGAGGATGAGTGGAAACATCGGTGAGAGTACAATATCTAAATTGATAGTCTCTTTTTGGTGAACAAGGAGAAGGCAGATGGGGCCCATTTTCATGTAGTACAGGTCCTGTCTTGATTGGAGTCCCGTCCACCATGTACAGTGATAAAGGGTGTGATTTTAGTCGCATGGGCAGGTGACAGGTTTGTACCAAGGTCTGGTCTATGAAACAGCCGCTGGCTCCCGAGTAGATGATGGCTGTGATTTGGTGATTTCCACTTTCCCACTAGAGAGATAGAGAGAGAAATAGGTAACAGGAGGAGGATGGAACAGTAGACATCCAAACGAAGGAACTATGGATCCCTTACCGAGAGACGTGGTGGGTCAGAATGGGCATGACTGTAGTTGAGGATCAGCTTTCCCACAGTAGAGAGAGAGAGTCCTTGAAAGCGGCATCTCTTGCGTTCTTCCTCAGTCAGGGGGCGACGAACCATGCCTATATGCATGGGTTCTTCAGCAGAGGAGGTGGAGGATGAGGCAGAAGCCACAGGGCCAGATAGATCCAAGGGCCGAAGATTAGTTGGAGTCTCTCTTTCATTTCTTCCTTCACAGAAGCATCGATCTAATTGGGTGACCAGGAGAATCAGATCTTCCAAAGAAGTGGGTACCCCAACTCTGGCTAGTTCATCTTTTAAGGCTTCAGATAGACCCAGTCGGTACTGTTCTATCAAGACGGTTTCCTTATTACCTGTGTCAGAAGCCAACTCCCGGAAATCTGTGGTGTAGTATTCCATTGGTCTCTTTCCCTGTCGGAGGGAACAGAGGGCAGTGCAGCAGTGGAAGGTCTCAGTGGGTCATCGTATAATGTACGCATGGCTGCCACAAATGAGTCCCATGAGTCCAGTATTGGACTATTAGAGTGCAGCGGTTGATGTGCCCAGGTTTGGGGTTGGCCCGACAGCAGGGTAATAGTAGTGCAAAGCTTCACATAATCATTGAGGTATGTGCGTGGTTTTAAGGTGAAGAGCAATTCACAGGCTGTGATGAATGACTGCAGTTCAGTCTTTTTTGCAGTGAACTTGACAGGCATGGGAATGGCTGGCTCTGTAGGCAACATATGGACAGACAGCAGCTGGAGGTGAATCTTGAAGGGGTGTGGATTGAGCCCTTCTCTGTTCACGCTGTAGTAGCGCAGTGTTACTGGCTTGCAGGTCCTGCACTGCTTGGGCCAAACCCATCATCTGTTGGGTCAAAGCAGTAATAGCTCCAGCTGTTCCTGCGGGTTCCATGTTGACTTTGTTATTATGTCACACCAACCTGGGGTTTTGTATCGGTGATGGAACCCAATTGCAGCGGAACAGCGCTCCTTTACAATCATGACCCTCAGGAGCAGTAATAGCTCCAGCTGTTCCTGCGGGTTCCATGTTGACTTTGTTATTATGTCACACCAACCTGGGGTTTTGTATCGGTGATGGAACCCAATTGCAGCGGAACAGCGCTCCTTTACAATCATGACCCTCAGGAGCACCTAGAAGTGGGTACAGGGTCCTGAAAGGTCTGTGGTAGCAGGGAGACTTTTAGGGTAGAAGCCAAGCGAGGAATCCAAGAGGGGAAGAAGCATGTGTCGTAGTCAATCAATCCGGGATCAGGTCAGGCAGCATGCAAGAGTAGTCTATCAATCCGGGGTCAGGTCAGGCAGCAGGCAAGGGTAGACAATAACGGAGCCAAGGATCAGGGCAATAAGCAGGTATGGAAGAGCAACGAAAATAACCAAGCACTGACTGGAAGGCGTGCTTGGTTTCAATAGGGAGCCAGGATCACATGACCTGCCACCTCCCACCAGTAGGTGGGGCACACAGGAGCTATAAAAGGAGTTCAGGGACTCGGCGCCATCTTGGTTTACCTCACAGTCCCTGAGCTGCCTCCTCTTGTCAGAACCGCAACTCCTTCCCTCACCTAGAACGCCGGGTCTGGAGTCTCTCTTTCATTTCTTCCTTCACAGAAGCATCGATCTAATTGGGTGACCAGGAGAATCAGATCTTCCAAAGAAGTGGGTACCCCAACTCTGGCTAGTTCATCTTTTAAGGCTTCAGATAGACCCAGTCGGTACTGTTCTATCAAGACGGTTTCCTTATTACCTGTGTCAGAAGCCAACTCCCGGAAATCTGTGGTGTAGTTTTCCATTGGTCTCTTTCCCTGTCGGAGGGAACAGAGGGCAGTGCAGCAGTGGAAGGTCTCAGTGGGTCATCGTATAATGTACGCATGGCTGCCACAAATGAGTCCCATGAGTCCAGTATTGGACTATTAGAGTGCAGCGGTTGATGTGCCCAGGTTTGGGGTTGGCCCGACAGCAGGGTAATAGTAGTGCAAAGCTTCACATAATCATTGAGGTATGTGCGTGGTTTTAAGGTGAAGAGCAATTCACAGGCTGTGATGAATGACTGCAGTTCAGTCTTTTTTGCAGTGAACTTGACAGGCATGGGAATGGCTGGCTCTGTAGGCAACATATGGACAGACAGCAGCTGGAGGTGAATCTTGAAGGGATGTGGATTGAGCCCTTCTCTGTTCACGCTGTAGTAGCGCAGTGTTACTGGCTTGCAGGTCCTGCACTGCTTGGGCCAAACCCGTCATCTGTTGGGTCAAAGCAGTAATAGCTCCAGCCAGGGCCGGACTGGGAAAAAAATTCAGCCCGGGCATTTTTTTATCACAGCGGCCCACTAAGAAGGGGGCGGGGCAGAGAGGGTGTGTTTTGTCATCACTCATGACAAACACGCCCCCTCTCAAAGTGAGCATGTTGGTTCAATGCTCTTCCAGGGCAGACCATGCCCAGAGTTCTGCTGAAGAGCTCTAGCATGAGAAAAAAGCCCTGTATTTGTTCTGCGCAGTGCAAGCAAATTTAATAACATGCTTGCACTGTGTTTCCTTGCAACTTGTCTCTGGTGTCTCTATAAATGGATACCAGGAGACAAAAGGGCCAGGAAAGAGTATTGTGCATGTGTTTCGAGCCTGTTTGTGGTATTACGTTTGTGCAGAGTGAGCTGGTCATGGTGTGGTATTGTGTAATAAGGTCTGTTTTAGTCGTGTTGTGTTTGTGGTGTAATGTAATGCATATGTGTCTAGGGGCTGTAGAGAATGTGTGTATAGGGGATGTAGCAAGTGTGTGCATACAGGCTATAGTGTGTGTGTGTATAGGTGATTTAGTGTTTGTAGAGAGTGTGTGTTCAGGGAATGTAGTATGTGTTTGCTTACAAGGAATCTAGTGTGCATATAGTGTGCATATAGGGGATCCAGAGTGTGTGTGTGTATATGATCCAGAGTTGGCTAAAGGATCTAGTGTGTGTCTGGAATGTAATGTGTTTAGGGGTGCAGTGTGTGTGTGAGGGGTGTTGTGTGTATGTGTATATATATATATATATATATAGTTTATATAAATATGTTTGGAAGTATTGTGTATGTGTGTGATGCAGTGTATTGGGGGTTGTGTGTGTATGTGAGGGGTGCAGTATGTGTGTGTGAGGTGTGATGTGTGTGAGGGTGCTGTGTGTGTGAGGGTGCTGTGTATGATGTGTGTGAGAGTGTTGTGTGTGTGATGTGTGTGAGTGCTGAGTGTGATAGTGCTGTGTGTGATGTGTGTGAGAGTGATGTGTGAGAGTGCTGTGTGTGAGTGTTGTGTGTTATGTGTGTGAGTGCTGAGTGTGATAGTGCTGTGTATGAGTGTTGAGTGTGATAGTGCTGTGTATGATGTGTGTGAGTGCTGAGTGTGATGTGTGTGAGAGTGATGTGCCTGAGTGCTGAGTGCTGTGTGTGAGAGTGCTGTGTGTGAGAGTGTTGTGTGTTGTGAGTGCTGGGTGTGATAGTGCTGGGTGTGATGTGTGTGAGAGTGCTGCGTGTGATGTGTGTGAGAGTGCTGCGTGTGATGTGTGTGAGAGTGCTGCGTGTG